TAAGCTTCTTCTCTGATTGAGATTAGAGCCCTTACCGCCGCTTAATCTGCAGCTTTTCAACAAAGACATTTAGATTTTTATTTGATGAATTGCCAAGCTGCTGTGCCCCCTCAATTGATGGGATTTGCATGGGAGACAAAAGCTCACTTCAAGCGCAATTCAATCATAATCTGTTTCTCATATTCCGAATGCGATTCAACAATCTTTAGCTAAGCTCAACTGAATGCTTTGCATGAAAAATGCCAATATTTAGCTTAGCCCAGTGCAGCCGTTAATCATGGGACTGAAAGAAAAAAGGGCTAGACAAACTGAAAAGGGAATATGCATACTATATATGCCAGATAGAGCCGAAGTGAAGGCCACACAGAGCACAAAAATTGCGGCACATTTGTCGCACATTTGTGCGGTCACAGTTGATCCCCGAAGTCATCTATCAACAGCCGAGGGCTGCCACCTAGAGCCCGACAATTGGCAAAGGAAATTACAAACATGTGTACGCTCATGCCCATACATATCTCTACGTGCATATATGTATGCGTATATATGTATATGCATATCTGTGTACATATTTCTATATCTGTTTGCTGCCTACTTCCCGCTCATTTGTCAATACACACGCGCTGTTTCCTTTTCCGCTTTGTGTGATCCAAGCAAATGCCTGGCATCAGGGAAAAATGTAGCAGGCCAAAATATTTGCCAGCAGCACAACAAAGCCAAAGTCAAGGGAGGCGTATACGTAATGCGGATAAAGCAGCCGAAGGCAGGCGAAGCAGGAAGGCAGACAGTCAGGCAGGCCGTTTGGCGGCTGTTAAATGTACTTTAAATATCACTTAACGCATTTAGCCTTGATTTCCAAGCCATGTCATTTTATCTTCATACATTCGTCTACGCTTTTGCATATATTTATTGGATCGCTTTACTCCCTGTGGGCAATATTTAGCACGAGCTGCGCCGCATAAAACGTTGCTTTGAAGACGCATGAGAGAGTGCGCTTGCAGCATGTGTGCGCCATTAGGCAACTAATATTAAATTCAACTCAATTTCGTAGCTTACCATTTTTTGATGGCCATATATGTAAGTACAAAAGAAATTAAATTTCACATTTTAATGAGCCATCAAAAAGGCGCAGAGAAAACATAAATAAATAAACAGAAAATGGATTTCGCCTGCATCCAGCACTCGCCCCAGTGATACCCTGTGCTGTAATTACATATTAATCATAGATACCCCACTATGCCCCTATGTCTGCTGCAGGGTATTGAGGAGATTGAAAAGCAGAGCTAACAAAAGCCCAAATGCTTAAAGTTAATTTAAATTTAATTAGAACTTTTTTTGGGTATTGTTTTTTTTTTTTTTGCTTGAAGAGGGAAGTTGAGCTCCCAGTGGACCAACTGTAAATGAAAATTGACGTAACGCAAGTTTATTAAAATGCGATTTGCATAAGGATGTGGCACACAGGAGCCGGTGTAAGCTCCAGCGTTGGCGTCACAAGAGTCAAATGTAAGGCCGGAGCGGAGCCAATGAATTTTAAATATTTTCACAGCTCGCCGACATGCCTCGACTCTGTTACACAATCGTAATCACAATCACAGACACACTCACATTCACACTCACACACAGAGCTGGGTAATGGGGAGAAGGTAAAGCCAACCGAGCGCATTAATTTTCGCTTTTTCGCCTTTCACACGCATTTTATTTGCGTTCAAAACTCAATTAAAAGTAGCCACAGGTCCAGCTCCCATCCACTCGACCTTTGACCTGACAGGCTTCAGCTTTTTGTTTGGCCCTTGACTTTTCTTTTCTTTTCTTTTCTGACTGTGGTCAGTCGCTGAATCCAGAACTGTTTAACATATTATTAATGTTGGTAGTAAGAGTCGAGCTAATGGATAGTGCACGCAAGGTGAGTTGATTGATATAAATAATAGCAGTACCTATATATATATCTGATATATAAAAGGTAAGGCTGTGTGAGACACGTGTATAAAATCTTTCTGTATAGTAATAAAGCTAACACACTCATAGAAACCGAACCGAAGCAAGCTTTTTACACATAAACAACAGACTGTTGCCTTTCTCTCAGTGTAGATACCGCCTACTGCCTCACTCACTGTAAAGCACTCTCAGCTGACAATGAGCTGTGAAACAAAGCCAGTTTTATCTTCATTTGCTTTGATTGCAGCCGTCAATTTAATTGAAATTCAACGGATTTTAGCAGCCAACCACAAAATTCAAGACAAAACAGGTGGAAATATGTGAGTGAACACTGAATGCCCTAAGCTTTCTATAGTTTATATAGATGTAAAAGTTTTCGCTATTTTTATGGTAGTCATAGTTTTTGTCGGTCATGAAAGTTACGTGCTTTATGTTTTAGATATTGTAGCTCACCTTTTGGCAGTTCCACTTGCACCTGCACAAAAGTCAAATAAAATGAATAAAATTCAGTTAAAATGAAAGGGCGTTCGGCGTCAGCAATCAATGCGGCTCTGTGGCACTTTTAATTGCTATGCATAGTTTTATATAGATGGATAGTTGGATAGTTCCGAGCTGAGTTTTCCTTTATTTTTACGATTTTTTCTGCATTGGCATTATTGCACATGCCACGCCTCTTTTACACATTCGCATTGGCATTGGCATTCGCATTTAGTGGGGCAGCAGCAACAATTGATGCCACTCGTTCGCCAACAGCTTCCTGCCACAACAATGATGCGGCTGTACCCCTCTCCTTCTCTATCTCACTCTCTCTCTCTCTCTCTCTCTCTCGCTCTCTCTGTCTCACTAGTTATGGTTGCCTCGAGCTTTTCAATGGCACAAACGGAAACTGTGCTTCCAATATTGCAATAAAAATCAATTCACCAGGAAGGCAGCTCAAATTGAAGTTGACCGAACGCCTGATATTAGAGCTATGCGAGCGACTGTCAGACAGCACACACACACACACAGATATGACAAGTGTCTGCAGCAACAACAATACCAAAGAGACGTAGCTGTGCAAATGCATTGAGCGCTTTTAATAAATAAAATAAAACTTAAATTGAAAATTGTTGTCATCGTAAATTGATAATAATTATTTTTAATTGCATGCAATGAGATGTTTTTGTTGTTGCTGCTGTTGTTGTCATTGCTGTTGCTGGCCATGCAAATTGCATGTGATAGAGCCTGGCTTGAAAGTGAAGCCTCGTCCTACACATCACGCATACGCCGCATTTGCCAAGCGCACATAAAAAAGCCATTAAGCAAACAACATTAAAATTAACTTAAATATTGAATACACAGTAAATAGCTGAAATGCTTTTGACATATTTGCTTAATCGCATTTTCCAAATGCAAATGTAAATGCTAAAAATGCTTCAATTTACAATGTTGTAATTGCCGAAAGACAAAAAAAACATGCGAATGTTTTGCATATGTGAAATAAATATTGCGAACAAATTAATTACGATTTGAATTAATTTTTGATTTCATATTGGAACAGTTCAAAATTGATATATATTTTTACATATTTATCTTGCCATTTGTTTGAACTGAAATGTTCGTAAATATGCGAAAATTTAATGAAATTTTCTGTTGTTGTTCTCAATAAATTTTTGTTTGAGTAAATGCAACGAGGACTGGATTGAATTTTGGAATTTGCTGTTTGCCTGCTCAAATTAAAATTTCAATTAAAATTTGATTAAACAAGCGAAGGCAAAATCTTTGTATTGTTTGAATACGTATTTGTATCTTTGAGATACTTTTCTCTCTGTGCTTGGGCAGATGTCAGCAACTAATCATTTGCATTAATAATTCCATTTTGAATGCTCTGTTATTTACCTGTGACCTGTAATTAACGATAAGACCGTCCTAGCATTTGGCATCTCAAGAATTTGCAAATGCAATTTTTGCATGCATCAAAAGACAAAATTGTTTAAACAATTTGTCAGCTCGAAATATGCAAATATTTGTCGAATTTTGGTTGCCTGTGGCATAAATCGATTGACTTTGCCCTGGTCTAACGTGCGACCAAAACGAACTTCAATAAACAGTCTTGAATATTTAATATAAATCCATCCAATTTATAATACTAATTGATTCAAGGCAAAACCAACAACAACATCAGACTCTTATTGAACGTGTGCCAAACAATCAACTGTAAATTATGTACAGAAAATTATAAAATAAATAATAAACTAATAGAAATATAAGACGAATTTGATTAGATGGACATACACCGAAAGAAAAGCTGTGCTATATGGAAATAATAGATGTAAATATAAATATTAAATTACGATTTTATATGCTATATGTTATATATAAATATCTATATATATTTTTTTCTATTTTATTTTATATTTTATATTTTATTTTATATTTATATTTTATATTTTATATTTTATATTTTATATTTTATATTTTATATTTTATATTTTATATTTTATTTTATTTTTTATTTTATATTTTATATTTTAGATTTTATTTTTATTTTATTTTAGATTTTATTTTATATTTTATTTTCTCTTTTATTTTATTTTATTTTATATTTTATATTTTATCTTTATTTTATTTTATTTTATATTTATTTTCTCTTTTCTTTTTCTCTTTTATATTTTATTTTTTTTTTTTTTTTTTTTTTTTTTATATTTTATATTTATATTTATATTTTATATTTATATTTATATTTTATATTTTATATTTTATATTTTATATTTTATATTTTATATTTTATATTTTATATTTTATATTTTATATTTCATATTTTATATTTATTTATATATTTTTATATATTATATTTTACATTTTATATTATATTTTATATATTATATTTTTATTTTATATTTTAAGTCTAAGTTCAATATTTACCAAGCTTTTCCCTTCAGTCTCTGAGCTCTGATTTTTAATTTGATACTATTTATTTTATGTTTTTGTTTTTCTATTTTAACCGATAATCCCTTAATCTAGCATTCTGAGCCACATTTCTACTTAAAAATCTAAATCTAGTGCAGGAATATTTAACGCTCACTTACCCAAACAAAAAGTTTGTGGGCCAAGCAAATGTCGCCTTTAGTTGGAGTTCACTTTGAATTAGTTTTTTATTCAGTCGCTTTGGCAAGTCTTTTACGGGGCTCAATAAATTAGCAGCTACGTCAGCCACAAATCCAGTGACAATGACTTTTAGTTCCCAGTTCTCTTTGGCTGTGCCACACACACTCTCACACTCACACACACACGCAAACACACGGAAACGTGGTAGCGTATTAAAAACTCATTAAGCAGACTCTGTATGTATGTTTTTTTTTCTTTTGCTTTTCAATGTGGTTTTTTCTATATGAGTTCTCTTTTATTTTTAATTTATGCAAATATCGACCGAGACGCAGCGCGTGTGGAGCTGCCAAAAAGTATGCTATGCTGCTGGCCAACTTGCAGCGAAAGTAAATCGAATGTCAACCGCACTCGCACTCGCACTAGCTCTGGCACTCGAACTCGCAGTTGATCAAAAAAGCGTGTCGTGAGTGGCGTGAGAGTCCAGCACGTGCACTACGTGACCTATGCCAAGCGTTAAATTCATGCGAAATATCAGCCAAAAGGATGCCAAAAGTATATGCCAAATGGCTGAGTTAGCGATTCCGATTGCGTTAACGACGTCTTCGAGCGGCAACAGCAGGTAAAACTCTTCGCACACACCAATCTACGCAAGTACATACACTCACTCACACACACACGTGTCGACCAAATCCGCTTAAGACAAACTGACGACTGATTCTGTGCCACGCAGCGCAATGCCCCAAGTTGGGGCAACTTGGCCCCAAAAATTCTGTGTGTCGGAGTCGGCGACGCTTCTGTTGCTCGGCAGCCGCTGTTTCGGCTTGTGGGTGACAGAAAGAGAGAGAGAGAAAGCAGGGGCTATGGCAACAGCACCCGGACCTGGGACACTGCCAAAGAGCTCGTGTGCGAGCTTAAGAGCGCGTCTGTTCCATTGCCATGCGTTCCGCAGTGGCGCAACTGGTTTTGTCAGTCCCTCTGCCGCCATGGAAAGCACCTAAATGTGTGGCATTGGAAGCAGCTCTCTCTTACTCCACCGCTCTGCCCACTCCCATCTTGCGCTGGCTGCCGGCAGGGACCGCTGTTTTGTTTGCCCAATTAAATGCCACATATGTCATGGACTACTCACTGCTCAGCCTCCTCCCACTTGCCGCATGCAGTTTTTTTAATTAATCATTAATAGGAGCCACGCTCCGCTGGCAACCAAAGCCAGAGCCAGAGCCAGAGCCAGAGACAGTGCCCGTGCTGAAGCCTGGTGCCATAGCCAAAGCAGCTAAAGGCGGCCAGGCAACCCCTGTCCCAGCTGAATGCCAAATTGCAGCCTTTGATATGCCCGCTGGAGCCCACTGCGACCCCGACTCCGGCTCCAGCCGCAATTAGCGTACAGGCAGAGCGGCGCAACAACAACAACCATGCAACAGTTGCGTCAGTCCAACTCCCACAAGGCACGTCCCAGGCCGCAGCGAATACCAAATGCAACAGAGTCTATTTCTACGCGTCAAATAAAATCGCAAAAAAAACTAAAAAACTGGAAAGATAAACAGCAATGATTGGCTGCGAGATGACCTGTTAATTGGCCGTGATACAGAGCAAGAAATATCTTAAGAGTAAGAGAAATGCTAAATCACTTTTGGTACCTATAAATGAAAAATATAGTTATATAGAGAGATAGAGAGAAAGGTAGATAGAAAGATAGAGAGATAGAAAGTAGAGAGATAGAAAGTAGAGAGATATAGAGATACAGAGATACAGAGATACAGAGAAAGAGAGATATACCCATTGATAAGTAGAAGGAGAGAGAGGAATAGAGACGTACAGAGGCAAGCTGCTCCGACAAGTCGCACTACTCTTAGTAAGCAAAGCTCACAGGGTATTCAAAAATATATATACCTGCACACATTACACCAAGCAACGACACTTCAATGCCCTAACAAAGAGTTAAGCAAGCAAAATCACTTTGTAAGTAACAATCAACTCCGATGCAAGCCATATAGACAGAGATCATAGTAATCCATTGTTAATTGGTATATATGCCCGATCTACTGCGCTACACGAGTATTATCAGTTGCCTAGAGGCAATTGTACTTTGCTCTCGTTCAGGCATGAGCGACACGCACGTTGCATGTGTTGGCCTCCGTTTCTCTGGGGTCTCACGGCTGTGGCAGCTCTAATGCAACAATTGACCCGCGGGTCGTGTCGCCAACACACTGGCACGCCCCTTTTCTACACTGGCACTGACAGTGCTCAGCTGCTGCGCCGCACTGTTGCAAATACAATTTGCTGCACTCGGTCGAACACATTCCGATTTCGCATAATTTTATTGGGTCTCACATGACTCCAGCGACTCCAGCGACGACGCTGACGACGACAGCAAACAGAATCAACAGCTGCTGCATGCCATACCTCCGGCTCCCTTGATAAAATGCGATTCCCCATTGCATTTTTGTAGGCGCTGCGAAGGGCCGCATATGTCAGCGACAGAGCCGGAGCTAGCGCAGGAGGCAGAGCTCACTTCACATAGGGCACTTATGCTTTGCATATGCAATCGGCCACATAATCAGGCGGCAGCTGGGCTGCGGCAATTGGGCACGGGATTTGGCATTGCAAAAATGCTAATTAGGCGTAATTCGCATAAAATTCGCCAAACATTTGCTGTCATTGGCAAGTCGAGGATTCAGTTCGGTTTTTGCTCGGATTGTCAGGCCTGGCTTTTGATTTATGAGCAGCGACTGCTATCAACGGGCGCATCAACAGCGTCAATCGTCAGCTCATCCGTCATCGCAGACCGCACCCGGAGATGGAAGCAGCCTCCACGGCTGCTGCTGCGCCAGTCAGACTGATAAATTATTAACTATGTGGCATGTAGTGTGCCACTGTGTGTGAGTGTGTGTGTGCTTAAGCTGATGTGATTCGGATTCGGATTTGTTTTGCTAACTCTGATTTCACGCATTCCCCTAATAAGAGACATGTGTCTAAGTGTGCTTCAGATCTTGCAGCTTTGCATTAATAATATATTTGTTAATTTGTCTTAAAAGCAAAAGCCTAAAGTAAAGTACAAATACTATTTATAAGTAATAACTGCGTATAAATAACATATATATAAATAATACATGCGTATGGGATTTTATTTCTTTTTCTTTAATTATAGTAAATCAAAGCATTTAGCTGCTTAGTGAATAATACTATATGTATCGCAAATATATTTGTACATATTTATTAAGCAAATAAAATTGTTGATTTGCCCCGAAAACAGAAACAAAAGCCTTATGTTTATATATTATTGTGACATGCATTTGATATATATATTTATATATATTTAAGAATCTGCTTTTCATTATAAATATTTGGTTCATTTTTTCAACAATCGTTAAATAATTTTATGCGTTAATTTTTTTAAATTGAATAGAAGCAATTTCTTATGATTCTACTCTATATGCCAATATTTATTATATATAAATTATTGATGTACTAATTGCATTTTTAAAAATTTATTTTTAATTTATTCATATAATTCACTTAATTTCAATATAAAATATAAATATATTATATAAAAATATTTATTAAATAAAAAAATTATATCGAAAATTGGAATATCAATCAAATGGAATATCATTGAGCTAATATAAAATACAAAATTCTTATTCTGCTATTTATATATAAAAATATATTTATATATAACTAGTTGTATGTGTTTTGGTCAATGTTGTGGGATGATATCTGGAGATTCTGATTGGCTTGTGAATTATTGGTGAAAATTTTAGCATTAGAGCAGTTTATTGTTTATAGCTACAAATTTTGTGTGTTATCTCAAGTGCTTGAATGCTTGCTAAAGTCGCCAAGCTTGGGTACATATAATATTTATATATATATAATATTTATTTAATAGAATTATATTTAAAATACAAAACCAAGTAAGAAAGTCAAATCTATTTCTTTAAAATATTTCAAGCTAAAGAGCATCAGAAATGTGAGTTAAGCTCTGGTTACGATCAAATTCTTCACTAAAAACTCAAACAAAAGAAAATAGAACCACATTTTACCAAAATCAATTTAATCTCAAATAAATCAAAATTCCATTAGAGTCTAAATTATGTGAAATTCATCAAATACTTTAGGTAAATCAAATGCTTTGTATGCCAAATGCGCATCCTTGACCTTGTTAAGCGTAAATCCTTGAAACTGTGCCACAGCCCAGAACAACAATTGTGCTAAGACAAAACCTGTTTTAATTAAATGGTTACGTTCCTTGATCAAGCTGTAAAGCCAGGAGGGGCAGGCGGACAGACAGCTGGGCCAGCTGAGGCAGTGAGGAGTAGGACCAACATTACTCAATTGAGTTTTGCATAGTTTGAGCAGCAGCTGCGGCTAACGATACGCAGCAGTTCCGGCAGAGGGATGCTGGAGCAGAGCAAAGGGGCCGTAGCAGGCAGTTGGGCAGTTGGCGATGGGCGCAACTATTGTCAAGCCGAAAAGTACTTTGTGCTTTGTGCTCCATTGTCATATCCTGTGAGCGTGGCGCTGAAAGGATTTCAATGTCACATTGAGCAACCGTCCTCGGGATTTTTGACAGAAAATGGGCCCGCGATACGCATTAAGCCACATTTTCGCGACCAACGCGGCAAAGCGTCGCACTTTTGTGGTCAATTAACTGCGTCGCTGCGCCTCAAGTTTCTGTTAGCCATTTTCAGTTCTGTTTTGCAATGAATTTAAATGGACCACTCTAGTCGCTCCCAGTGGCATATTCCGGTCGAGCAACCCGGCTCACACGTTGTGACAACACCTGTCGCCGTAAAAATTCTCAACAATTTAGCTAATGACTTCTATAGGCGAAGGCCCTTCAACCTGGCTGGGCTGCCTCGCTTCACTGTAAATAGCAAATTAATTATATGCCATGCAGTGAAATTAATCAAGTGTTGCGGTGCTCAGAAACCAAAATCAACTACACTTTCGACCTGAACTCTATTTAACCCCGAAACAAGCCAGAAACACCCAACACCCCACCCCACCCCTCCCAGCCATTTCTAACTACCTGCTTCGCCCGCTCCCACGTCCGTGGCCCATTTCATTAATCACGTTCAACACTTGGCCAGGGTTTGGAACAACAGCCAAAGCGTGTTGGCCAGCAGTAGGTGCGCGGATAGGTGAGCAGCTGAGCAGAGCGTTGCTGCTGTGGTATGGGCGTGGCCAAGGGGACAACTTGAAGCTCCCTTGTGGTCAATGTCAAATGGTATTCGGATACTCGCAAAACGCTTCAACTTTTGATTATTTATTGTTGTTTAAAGTGTGGGTTGAGGGGCTGGCGGGAAGGGGTCCGACGTGGTTCAAGGTGCAGCCAGCTACATGCTGCATTCAGATTTTAATTAGCAAATGATGCACTTTTATGAATTGATAGAGAGTAGGAAAAGGCAACTATTTAACTCTGCACTACATAACCAAAACTTCCAGTCTAAAGTCACAAGCGTCATAACATAATCAACATAGCTATAAAAGAGTATACTCCTAAGCAAATACACAAACCAATACTATAATCTACGGCTATCATGTAAACTAACCCAATTATGTATTATAAAGCATAACTTTAGGCAACTCGTTACATGTTGCCATACATAACCCCTAGCGAGTACAAGAGCCGCTATACAAACGAAACTTGGTTTTTGTATAGCATACAAATTATTACCATAATTTTAACTATAATTATATAACGCCTAAAAGTATAGCATCAACTCTACACATTTAGTACAATTGCGTGTAGCAAAGTATGCTATAAATAAGCTGCAATAATTTAGTTCTAAATGTAACCGCTAGAATGCGCTCAAAGAGTTAGCAAGGTTCAGTTGCTAGCGCCCGTGGCGACAACTACATATGCAGCAAAGTATGTTGTAAATTTAAGTATGAAAGTTAGTCCACAGCTCAATCGCTAGAGAGCGCTGCTTGGCGCACCTGTAAAAGGTTTTTTATCGTCGTTTTCAGTCGCGCGATCGGCCGCAAACGCAACAGGTGGACGGAACTACGCGCAGTTCGATAAGTAACGGTAAAACCCCGAAAGTAGTTTAGGTTCTAGGTATGGGCAAATGGAAATAATATTTTATTTTTAATATAAGCAAAAATTTGAGACTAAAAACAAATAAACAAACAAAATGTGAAGCGCAAAATGCGCAAAAATTGAATTAAATAACTCATAAAAAGGGGGAGAGCGTGTGTCTGCGTGTGTGTGTGTGTGTGATAAGATAGCCCAGAAACGCGACATTTCCTGATAAGGGAATTTGTAAAAGACAATTCGCCTTTGGCTAAAATGAATTAGTCATTAAATTAAACTTAAATGTAAATAATCGAAAGCCATTGTGCACTCGAGACAAGCGACAACAAACAATCAACTAAACTATATATCATTTACATGCACAACTCATATCGTGTGCATACAAACGATGCGCTACAGTGGACACTCAAACTAAAGAACAGCTTCAATTAAATAGATATTAAACTTTAATATAGATCAAATGTAAACATAATTAAAATCGGATTATTCTTGCTGCTTTTTGTGGAACTTGTCATGTCTCAATTGCCAGTGTACAGTGGGCACCTTGTTAGTGAACTGATAAAATTTTTTTTACAATATTTGTTTCTTTTCTGCTCTGCCTAGCCTGGGAAAAGGAACTGCATTGTTAAAATTTCTTGATATGTAAGTAGCTGATATATGATATATGATATATAAAATGCCAACTGCGCGAATCTCATATTTTATATTAAACTTTAATTATTTCTGCAATTGAAATTTGAAGAACCTTTGACCTAAATCATATTTGATTCACTAAACCAAGTCCAAAAATTCTTTCATGCTGCCAGCTAAGCTTTGTTCACTCCCATGAGTGCGCACTGTACATAGATAAAATTGCTTAAATGTAATAGGAGATATGCTCATATGAGCAGCTTCCGCTCTGACAACCATTTAAAAAAAAATATAGAAATAAAACAGAAATGTGCCAGTGGAAAAATTATATATAAATTAGGTGACGGCGTTCATTATCTTGTTGTTATTGTCATATGCGCATAGAAATATGTGTATAGATATTTATATGTATATAATGAGCATGATCATATATATCTATATAAACTTATAACAATCAATCAGCTTGAAGTTTTGCTGCGGCATTATAAAATAACAATCAAAACAAACATTCGGCTTGCGGAATCGAAGCGCAGCGCCACAACAGCAACATCAAAAGCAACAACAACAACAACAATAACAACGAGCCCCATCAAATTACAAAGAAATTATTACGAACATAAATCGGAAATAATTTCATTTCTGTGCGCTGCTCTGATTAAATCGACTGTGAAATACAGTGAAATATCGTTATGAGAATTATGTACTAAAAAGACTATATATATTGACAATTAGATAATATGGACAATCTTGAAAATGTATAAAAGAAATTATAGATCGGCAAACTTAAAAAATGTAAGAAAAATTCAGAGAAAATTTAAGCTTTATACATTTAAATTAAACTACTGCTTGAAAGCTTCACTGTACAGTGACTTACGAGCTAAAAGATCTTGCTATAACTAAATAGGCTTCAAAACATTGTAAAACTAATACAAATTAGGAAAATTTAAAAGAAATCTTTGATTAAAAAAAATATATAAAAAATACTTTAAATATATTCGTCTACTTTTAACGATTCTGAGAGGTTTTACTGTACTTTAAGCACTGACAATAAGTTAAAGTTCTCAAAGAAATTAAAAATAAATCATTTTATTTATATAATGTGAAGGATGTTTAAAGCAAGCCCAAATGTGTCTATTAGATGATTAAAATATTTATTAAAAAAGTATTTTAAGATATAATACATCATTGCAAATTAATAACAATGCCGCTTAGAGTATTCACTGTACCTGTGCACATACGTCTTGACTAGCGAATAGTTCTATTTATAGACTTCTGCCTAGAGCCGCCGTTGAGCCAGTTCCCAACGAGAGAAATAGTTAACAAAAAATAGAAAAATATTAAAATACCTCATAAAAATAAACAACTAAAATAACTCGTAAATAAAGTCTTACACAATCAAAAAAAAAAAAGAATACAGAGAAAAAAGTCACAAAGAACTCTGCTACGCGTATTCCCCGAGCTGCAATTAGGTTCGCACTTGTCGCACCAGGTCGTTGGCCATTAACATAGACTCAAACGCAAACTACAGCTATACAACATAAATATATATACATATATCCATGTGCACTACATACACATAAATATGTATATAGATGTGTGTGAGAGTGTCTATTTGAACATAAGCGCAAATTGTGACGTCATGTGGGGCCAGCGAGCAAATCAACTGCAATAAAAAAATTCGTTTCGTTACAGTTTTGCTTCTTTTTTTGTTGTTTTTTTTTTTTTTTTTTTTTATCTACCTGCTCATTAACTGGCTATATACATGCAATAGTTGTAATTGTTGTTGTTGTTACTTTTGTTGTGGCAGCCGCTGCTACTGCCTCCCGCTATCAGCTGTGCAGCTTTCACAACTAATACTCGAAGCCAGCGGAAGTTATTAATAATGCATTTTTAATAAATAAAAACAACAACAACAACAACGACAAAGGTAATCACAATAACAAGCGCAAAGACAACAATAGATTTGAGTTCAAGTGCAGAAGATACAAAAGGAGATAAAAGAGCGCATAGACCGAATGCTGTATACACTTTTTAGACTCTGCACCTGTTCGATATCAAACAACTTTCAAAGCTGAAAATTTCTTTTAGACTATGACTAAATATTTATATATTATATATGTCGCAATGCCCATATTATGATATATAAACATATATGTGTGCAATGGCATTTAATCTCTAATTAGGTAGGTCTTAGTTATAAATAATTTCTCAACTTAACTGTAAAGATAAAGCCAACTCGTAAAATAATAATAGATAGTGAAATATATTTTATATCACAAATACTTTCTTATATTATTAAATGTTTACTTGTTGTGTCGTAAATCTTTCGAACAGCCCTCGTATTTATGTTATCTTTATTCCTTTTTGTCGCCCCAGAAACCTTATCAAATTCTTAACTGTTGCAAAAGGCCGAAACTCAAAGGCCATCAAATGAGTGTAAAATTTTGTTGTTGCTTCTTTGAGGTTGTTAATGTTGTTGTTTTTGCTATTGTTGTCAAACTTGTTATAATTATTGCTGTTGTTGCTAAGGCTGTTGCTGAAACAGCATTTAAGGCACTTTTCTACTATAGCATTTGAGAGAAAGAAAGAGAGAGGGAGAGAGAAAGATAGATAGAGAACGAGAGAGAAAGATAGAACAAGAGAGAGGGAGATATATAAAATAAGAATAAGTAGAGAATAAGTGGGAAAGAGAGAGAGAGAGATAGAGGGAGAGAGACAGAGAGAGAAAGAGAGAGAGGAGGGAGTGATGGAATAGACAAGGCAAATATTGATAGAGAGCTAAAGGAAGAAAGCTGTGTAGTATGTAATGGAAAACTATACATAAGAGAAAGAGAGAGAGAGGGAGAGAGATAATGTGAGAGTGGGACAGAGATAATGCGAGACTGAGGGGGTGACAAAGACGAGAGAGAGAGAGAAAGAAAAAAATGGAGACTAAGAGAGAGAGAGAGAGATAGGGGGAATACCACAGAGAGGAAGAACTAAATGTAGATCGTGAGCTTGGAAGAGACAGCAATCATTAAGCAACCGAAAACAATACAGAGAGAGACAGAGAGAAAGAAAGGGTTATTCATAAACAAAGACCAGATAGCGAGAGAGAGAGAGAGAGTGTGTGTGAGGAAGCAGTCAATGCGCAATAGGCTTGGCAACTGGCCAGCTCCACCTACACCTTCACCACTATTGCCACCACCACCTTCACTGACAGCTCACCTCCAGCTGAGCTCAGTTGTGCACACAACAACTTTTTATGTTGTTGCTGCTTGTTGACGTCAGTCGCAGTTGACAGACGGCAACAAAGCAACAGAGACAAAGGCAGAGGCAGAGACAACATCGGCATAGAGAACTAACAGATTGGAGAGCTGCTAGAGCACGAGCAACAGCTAGGCATAGTGCGCCATGAAAATATGAAGATAAGTTAGGTAATATCTAAAGATACGCCCCGTTGTAAGGCAAATAACTGTATAGAGATAGTAACATAAAGGCCATGTTCAAGGTAGTCAAATACAAATGCCATATTTATTGCAGTTTACGCCGAACCAAACTTGACTCGAAACTATGGCCGCGAGCAATGGAGCTGCAAGCAGCAAAAACAATAATCCCAGTGATTTGGATACTCAAGTGAATGTGGAGGATTTGCCAATCAGCTTCAAGGTTAGTCTTTTAGCTCTCAAATACAACAAGTGCCGCAAACAGAGCGCAGCATTTCATAAACACACACACAAAAAACGAAACATTGCTAAATGCCCATAAATTTAAATGTGAAGTTCAACGCGCATGGATTAAGCGCTTAACAAAAACCGACGAGCGACGACCGACGTCTAACACCCGCAATATACGCCCAAACTGTAGTGTACACTGAGCAAAATGATGTGGTTTGAATTAAATTTGACTTAAGTTTGAGTAAATTGGATGTTGAACTTAGATAAAACAATTGAAGTGGAATGAAGTACAAGCTATGTTAAAGTATAATAGGCCTGATCGATGGGCAACAGCTGACTCGAGTCCGATTTAGGGACAACTTTCAAATATTTTTGCTATTTTTTAATATTTTTTGTTTGCTTATATATATATAAATTTAAATATTTGTACTGACTTAATTTCAGCTTCTGTTAATCCTCTTTAATATCCATGCTTTCTCTAGAAAACATCAACAATTTTTAAGCTTCACGTTTTCATCCCTGAAACATCATCTGTTCATCAATGTGAAAACGTTCTTAATTTATATATATATATACATATATCAAGAAAATATTAAAATATCATTTTTTCTGCTCTAAATTCTCTTAAACAATTTTCTTGATTTTTTTAATTAAACTGAATATTGAAATTTTTTTAAAATATTCTTTGTTTACTTTTTACTTTTATAAAAAAAAAAAACAATTCTTTTTAATTATCAATACATTTTTAAAATATTTTGTGGAAAGGCCAAAAACACCCTCCACATTTTCCTATTTTCATTTTACGTTTTTCAACAATTGCAATTCAATCTTCAAATACTTATGCTATTCGAACCACAATTTCTGTGCGGTGCATCGAAAAATAACATAGCCAGACAGACACGCACTCGTCACGCTTGGCTGGACATTGGCTAAAGTCACCTGAGTGTGAGTGTGTGTGTGGTTGGCGGACAGCGCTGACATCCGGTTCGGGTCGGATGCAAATGAGGCGACAGTTCAGAGAGTTTGCCAACAGCTAACGACTAACGGCGACTCAGTCCGGAAGTAGCACCAACTCCAGCCACAGCTGCAGCATTTTGTTCTTATGTAAAGCCATTTCGCTTTTGCAGGTCAAATACATTGGCTCGGAGGCGGCGCGTGGACTATGGGGCATTAAGTACACACGGCGGCCGGTTGATTTGATGGTGGGCGTGGCCAAGAATCTGCCGCCCAACAAGGTGTTGCCCAACTGCGAACTGAAGGTGTCGACATCGGGCGTGCAGCTGGAAATCATATCGCCCAAGGCGAGCATCAATAACTGGAGCTACCCGATCGATACGATCTCATATGGAGTACAGGACTTGGTCTATACACGCGTATTTGCCATGATTGTGGTGAAGGATGAGTCCAGTCCGCATCCATTCGAAGTGCACGCCTTCGTCTGCGACAGTCGAGCCATGGCCCGCAAATTGACCTTTGCCCTGTCAGCCGCCTTTCAGGATTACTCGCGTGTGGTCAAGGAGGCTGCAAGCGATGAGCAGGACGGCAGTGCCAGTGCCACGCCTAGCGATACCATTACGCCCACGAGGCACAAGTTTGCCATCGATCTGCGCACACCCGAGGAGATCCAAGCAGGCGAACTGGAGCAGGAAACGGAGGCATAGCATATATATATAAGTGTATTAATTATATATGTGTTTCAACTTTTGGGATTCCGGCTTACGTGTCCATTGTGATTGTCAAAGTTACTTATCGTCCAGCTGCGGCAGATGCTGTTGTTACATTGTAGTTCTCTCACCTGGTAGTTGCCTCATACAGCTAATTACCCAAAGCCTAAGCATAAGGCAATTGTAAACAAACAAAAAACAAATCGATTTTTACGTAAATTAATATAAATTATATTTGTACAAAAAAGTAACAAAAAATATACAAGTTTTTAAACTGCCTTTTTATGTATTTGGATGACTTGATGCAGGTATGTATGTATGTACGTATTTATGTATTTATGTTTGTATGGCTTTATGAGAAGTTCTCCCACTATGACACTTCATTTAACAAGGCCTAAACTATTGTGATATATTTTTGCTTGACTTGATTTGGTTACCAATAGATAGTGAACATTTATACTTGCCTAAGCAGATATAGTATATGAAATTCTGACATATTTCTATTAAATTATAATTATTTTTTCAATTTGTGATTTAAACATTGCATAATATTTGTCCTGGTTATGGCTTGATGTAATTTTTGATGTACATTTTAATTTGTTTACATGAATGCCACTTATTAGAGCGGCTTCATTTGAGTACAAATAGATGTAATCTGTGAAATTCTGACACAATTTGACTAAGCTAGCATAAGGTCGGAAATAGCTGACTCTAGAACTAATCAAATTTTATGTCATATTTTTAAATTTATAATTTCTGCAAATGAATTTGATAGTAGAAAGTTGTACAAATAAAAAACGTATATTTTTTAAATATCGAATATTATTTGACTGAATTATGAGCATTGAAAATGAGACTTAACTGAGGATAAGACTTTGATCTTTTGTCAAGTGATGTCAAAATTAAAATTTTTTGCTTTTTTTAATGACAATTGAGAGAGCAGCTGCATAAGTATGAAAATGTATATTAATTAAACATCATTGTACGAGTTATGAGACTTCGAAGTATAAGAATATAACCCTCAGCTGATGATTCGCCCACAATAGTTCTCTATAGGAGTCTCGCCCTTCCCTGGAACAGTTTCAGTTAGGTCGCTTGTCAGTTGGCCATCTCTACCGTTCAAAGGCTGAATGCGACTAGGCAAACACAAACACTCAAACCTGTGCACGATGGAGCTCGCTAACCCATATGGAAAGTCAGAGACTTGAGTCAAATAATATTCGATACATACCTGTCTTGGATTTTTCAATATTTTTTATTTAAAGTTTTTTGTTTTTCAATTTTTTTGTCATGTTTGTTTGTGTTTACTCAAGGATACAACAATGCTAAACTTAAATTTCAACTCTCTATGCAGAAAGAAATGGCCATAAAACTAGAAAAATTCAAAAAATAGTCATTAAAGCTGCCTAGGTGCAAATGAGTGGAGGGCGGAGCTACGAGAGGCTTAATGTTGTGGGCGGGTGTTGCTCGGAGGCGGAGCGTGGGTGGGTGATTCCTCTAGCTGGCATCGGCACGAAAGAGAAAGCGACGTTTACGTGCATCCATTCTCGATGGAGTCTTTGGCTCTCGCACCTCCGGCACAACAGCTGCTGCCTCCTCCTGCTGTGGTGTCGGCTCTGCTTCAACTTTGCTCACAGTCAGGGGCTGTGTTTGCGCAACGGACATGGCTGGATCCGCGTCTGAAACGCGCTTGTATATAGGCAGAATGACTTCCTGTTCCTCGGCTGCAACGGGCGCTGGCTCAGCAGCGAGCTCTGCAACGGGTGCCGATTCAGCAACAATCTCTGCAACGGGCTCTGCCGCTACGGCTTGCTGCTCAGCCTCTGGCTTGCTTTCAATCAATGTCATGGGCTCAGCAGCACCTGGTGTTAGCACCAGTTCCATGGGCGCCATTTGCTCATTCTTGGGGCTCTGATCCAGACGCTCCTTCACCAGCTCCACAATGTCGTCAATGCTAATGCCTGGCATATAGGCAGCCGCGGGCAGGCTCTCCTGTGCATCGTCTTGAGCAGCTGGTTCCGCAGGCTCAGCGAGCGCTTCAGTTTCCAGTTCCTTAGCCGGCTCCACGACAGCTTCGGGCACTGACTCGGGTTGTGGCTCTGACTCCGGCTCCGGTGCAGCGACCACCTGCACAGGTATTTGATAATCGGCGGGCAAATGATTAAGCTGCATTATATTGATAATTGGCGAATCCTGTTTCAGTTTCAATTGAGGTTCCGCTGGCTCCGCTTCCAACAGCTGCTCCTCGACAGAGGCATTCTTGTCAACAATCTCTGGCTCTGGGAGCTTGGCCTCCTCAACGGAAACGGCAGTTGCATCCGTTTCCGTTTGCTGCAGTTGCTCAGATGCTGGCTTCGCTTCACTCTCTTGGATTTGTGGCTGCTGCTGCTCAATGGTTTCGGCCATGTCCATGGCGGCATTTGCCAGTTCAGTCTCAGTCTCAGTTTCAGTTTTAGTTGTAGTTTTAGTTTGTTCCTCATGCTTGCGCAGCGTGTTCAGGAAGTCAGTGATCAGCTGTTCCGCTTCGGCAGCCATGACTGGATCGACGGGCTTGAAGCCACCAATCGATGCTTGTGCTTCATTTTTGTTATCCAACATCTGCTCGACCAGTGGACTGGGATGCTCCATGGCGGGCGTAGCTGGCAGACTGACAGGGGCATCGGCTGGCTTAGCTGCCTCCATTGCTTCAATGTTCGCAGTTTCCTCGTTGGATAAGTTTGGCTCTACGATCGCTGGCTCAGAGTGAGTGTCTTCCATTTGTGGTTCCTGCTCTGCAGCTGGCTTATTGGTCTCGATGAGCTCGATCTCCTGTGGCTTTTCTTCTAAAGTCTCCACGATCACAGCGGGTATCTCTGGTATGGCTTCAATGGGCTGCACTTCATCTTCCTTTATATTAATGGGACTAGCTTGCTCCGCTGGTTCCTCTGACTTTATCTGCTCTGCCATCTGCTCTGGCTCCGGTTCGGGCTCTGCTATGGCTACAACTGGCTCGGATGCCTGGGCAACTGGCTCTGCCACCTGCTCAGCAACTGGAGCTGCAGGAGCTGCCTCCACAAACATCGTCTGCAGTTTCAACGTGGGCTGGGGTTCACTCAGCTCTGCCTGAACAATTGCTTCCGTCACAGCTGGCTCGCTTTCCTGCACAGGTCTTGCGGTGCTCGAGATGCTGTTCTTATTAAACATCGCTGGACGCTTGCGTATGGAGTTGAACAACTCATTGCGTATGGGCGTGGCAACTGCAGGCGCTGCGGGCTTAACGGGCTGCGGCTTCTCCTTGTTGCTGGGTCGAACGGTAAAGCGATGTGGCTTCAAGGGCTTGGCTGCCTGTTGGACGACTGACACGGCAAGGACTTCAGGTTCTTCTGCCTCCACAGCTTGAATTATGGGAGCTTCTGTGACTACCACAGGCACTTTCCTTTGCGGCTTGTTGTACGTGATGGCGGGCTTGCGGCGATTGGGCTTTGGCTTGGGCTTTTGCACCTTCACTGGCTTGACCGGCTCCATCACAGGCTCGGGTGCAGCTGCAGCTGTTACAGCAGAGGCATTCATTTCGCTTTCCTCGGGTTGAGGTCTCTCTGGTTCGGCTTGCTCGCTCTCAACGGCAGCAGCTGCAGCTGTTGCTGCTGCAGGCTGCTTCTCCTCCTCCGTAGGCAGGCCAAAGTTGCTATTCAATTCGTAATACCTGTAGCTCTCCTCGCACTCAATGGTCATGTCCTCGCGACGCATGCAAGTGAAGGATTCCTGTAAGAAAACTTTTGCTTTCACTTGACTCAAGTCTCTAGAAGCTCGCTTACCTGACTGAAGATCGTTTCCTCTGGGCAAATGAAGCTCCAGCGGAAGGTGTTCTCCTTGCCATCGGCATAGGTCACGGGCAGGCACACATGGAAGATCTGGCAATCGTTCTCCACATCTGCATAGTAGCCATAGCTCTTGTTGGCGCATGAAAAGTTGTCCGTTATGTCAGCTCGTATCGACGTAGCATTGCTGGGCAAAGTCAAAGTGCCAACGAGGGGAGCAGCCTCCACTCCTGCACTGCTGCTGGCTGGCATTTCCTCTGCAGCCTCCATCTGCATATCCGACTCCTGTTGCACAGCTGTTGCCGTGTCCTCGCGTGCCATAATGGGCATATTCTTTCTCTGGAAAAGAGTGGCGAGCACAAGCATTAACACATTTGAGACCATTCAGCTAACGCACTACGTGCCACGCATGCGCAAATCCTCAATTCGAATCAAGCACGTGACATGACTCGAGCTAGAGCTAGGCAATTCGTATTGAAATCAAAAAAATTTCACTTATGTTCTAGTTTTTTGGCGTTAAGTGAAAACTATGAACTAAGCGCCCGAAGCTGCTAACCAAATGCGTTTGCAGTTCGCACCTGGCGGGAAACCATTTTTGGTCAACGCTGCAATTGAAGTCACTTTCCATACGCTCAAATGTTATCACATCATATTTTTAACCATATCGATATATTATTTATTTCGATAAGAGTCATGCATTTTAAACAGTTTTCGGCTTTCAGTCACGCAGTCATTCGGCTTATGAAATCGGTAAACGCATAAATACCTCTTGCAAATACAGCTGTTAAAGTTTCTGGAAGCTCTTCATCTTTCTCTTTTCGTTATCATGAACTTACTGTGATATATTGATACAACTGTTGCACACAAGGGCTCGGGAGCTTCAACTAATGTTATTCCTCATTCATTCTATGCCCAACTTCTTTTCTTTCAGCACCCAAATATAAAATTTATTATGTCTTTATGCGCTACGTTATATTTAGATATATATAAATTTTTTTTGGTATATCTATTTATATGCAGCCAAATTTAAACATATTACACATCTTCAGTCTTGAATTTTGTTATGGAATTCGCCTGATTAAGTGTTGCCAATCTTAGAGCGTGTCTGCCATAAACGTAACGAACCTGCAGCTGTCTATAAATACCTTGGCAGTTCTTCTGCTCGTTTGGTCGTCTGCGCTTCGGCTCCTCGGGTGCATTTAGCCGTTAAAAGGCTAAACGTTTGGCATACCAACTAAGCGGCATAGCAGCGAAAAGTCTTATGCAAATGGCAAAGTGTCGAAGGGGCAGACTTCTAGAATGACTAACACAACTGGGAGTTGAAGTCGTGCTGCCATTAAAATTTCTGACTATGCCTTGGCAAGGCGAACACATTTCATTAACAGTTTTCCGTTGCCCGTTTCGATTTCCGTTTGCTAACGGAAGTCGTCTGCTACTTGCAGCCTAATCGAATCCAAATCGAAATCTAAATCCAAACACCCACCTGTTGGCTAAGGGGTCCCGCGCTGCAGCCGGCGGCCAGGAGCAACAATATAGAAATTAGCTTCCACATGATGATAACTAGCACAAATTGTTCAGTTGTATATATTACTATATATATTTGGGTATATAGGTATATGTGTATCACTTTTATCACAACACTTAATTACAACTTGAGAGCATAGTAATCCTTGTCGGCTCTGTCTGTGCGTATGTGTGTGTGCGTGTGTAATCCAAATGTTATCCAAGACGTAAGCAACTCTTTGTTTGTTTCCCTTTTTAAGATAGATTTGTAACTACCAAAGCTTGCACTCGCACTGTCTGCGGCTCTTTGCACACACCTGTGAGGCACCGTTGGCTACCAAATACTAACTGCGAACGAGCTAACCAAGCGACGCCCAATTTATATATTCTTCACTTTGATTTATTAAGAATGCAAAAGGTAGAGAAAACCACAACGAACACGCAGACACACGCACACAACGACACCTATACAGGTGCGTGCGGCAAAGAAATGTAGGCGACAACAACAGCAACAACGGCAACGACAACGGCAACGGCAACGTTGACAACAACTACAATTACATTGGCAAGTGCTTACATTGTTGTCGCTTCTGCTGCGCAAACGTGACATGGAATTTGGTGGAACTCAAGTTGTGGAATCTAAGTTAAGAGCTGAGAGTGCGAGAAGTAAGAGAGAGAGAGGTAGAGAGAGATTAGATCTGAGTATGAGTTGATCTGTGCTAAAGAGATCCTCTAGGGAGCTAAGTTGATTGAAGATTGAATTTAAATTTTTTTATTTAGAAATTGAATGATCTTACTAGTAGTGATGAAAGTGATGGTCAGTATGCAAGTTAAGCCTGCATGAAAGCTCTCAACTTCCAGTCTCTCTATACTGATGATGAAAAATGAACACTGAGACTTAAAACTGTATTAAGGCCCAGCCCAATTGGTATTCATTGACACCTGATTTGAACTTGGATTTTACATCTAATTAAATCTTAAACTGAATAAGCTAAAACACACTTTAACAAAATCCTGTAAGTTTAGGTTACCAGAGTCGAGAGACTAAATCATCGATATCGAGAGATTTGCAATTGAATTTTTGACATCAAACTACTTCGGAAAGATATAGTCTAGTCCAACGTATGGAAACCTGATTCTCTTGAGCACAGCTTTTAGCTCAGTCTCCCTCTTATTTTCTCTCTTGCTCTCTCCCCCTGCCTGTTTCTCACTCACTCTTCCCATTTCCTTCTAGCATAAGTAGAAAGCATATACGTTTTTAGCGCTTACATCTCAGCTCGAAACCCTCACTTCCAAACTCTCAGCTACAAACTCTCAGCTCCAAACTCTCAGCTCTAAACTCTCATCTCTAAGCTAGTCACTTCTCATCTCCTACCTATCACATACCATTCTCTCAATTCTCATTTCTCATATCCAAACTCTTATCCCTCAAATGCTCTCTGTTGCCAACTCTCTTGTTCATCTCAGATAGCATCAAATATTCAGTGCGTACCTGGACTTCTGATGCTGCCTCATTAATATGGCAGACAACATTTCCTTTGGCCAACGCAACCAGATTAATCTCAACGCTAAGATGTATTAAACGCACCGCCAGGCCAACTTGAGAAGACACTAGCAGACTTTGCAGGGCCTTTGTTAGCGCCAGGTGATTCAGTGGCAATTAAAAAATACTTAAAAATTATTATCAACTCGATATTTGTTTATGGTTAGGCGCTATTTCCGATGCCATTGGCCCCGGCCGCTTTCGCTTTTTGCGCTGTGCCTCGCTGTACGTGATTTTGATAGAACAGACGAAAGGGCAAAGGCGGGGCTACAACTTGTGCCTGTGCCCAGCTCCGAGCATTTACACAAAACCAAATATATATGCTCGTAAAATTAGAAATTCATAATTGACGCGTAATACTTGTACGTGTAGCCAGCCCCCACAGGCGAAATGGTAGCAGACCATTCTAAATTATTAATGCGTCTTAATAAGCGTCGCTTGTTTTGAAAGCCACAAACCCATATGATGATATTTCGTTTGTTGCATAATCCTTTGCCATCTCTTCTTCTGCCATTGAACCCTAATGAATTTTTATTTTTATTTTTTGATTGTGGTTCACTGAAAAAGCACGCACCTCTAAAGTTAAAGTTAAAGCCCCACTTGGTACACATAAAATTGCAATCTCACGTCGTCTTGTCGTTGTCTCTTTCTCTCCCTCTCTCTCTCTCTTCCGCCAATCTTTCGAGTTTAATCTCCGACAAGAGGCAACCAGTACCAGTACTGAGTGCTTGTGGCTAAGCAATTTCTTAGTAATCAGTGACTATCCACCATGCACATTAAGTTACTTAGAAGTTTTCTGGAAGTCAGCAGAACTTTAGACACTTTGCAACTTGACAGGATTATGATTGCAGAAATTTAATGTGTAAAAAGCAGCTGGCTTATCATATAAGTTATGCTATTAGTGTTTGAATATACATGACTTAACTAATATATATAAGTTAACTAATATTCATTGTCAGTTAAGTCAGCGTCCTGTAGCTCACATTCAATAAAAATTAAGTCTTCTCTTCTGCGAAAACTTCTCCAAGAGAGTTGTATTCCAATTCTAAGAGCTAATTGAATTGTACAGATGATTATAATGAACTCAATGAACTAGTTAAATAATCAACTAATGTACTAATTAACTAGTGATCTAATGAGCTAAAGGACTAGGACTATTAAGGACTGTTTAATTCATGAACTGAAAAACTAAAGAACTAGTGAACTAATCAACTAGTAAACTAATAAAACACTAATGAACTATAAAACTTATATTATCTATTAGTGAAAGTCTCTCTTTGTTCAATTATTCAATAGTTCATGAATGATTCGTTCTGTTTGATAGAGCAAGAGAGATAGATTCTATTAAGTATTACTATAGTTCATAAGCTATAGTTGTATTGAACCACTTAGACATCTATCAACTACCACTGAGACTAGTGTATAACTGATACTGAGCTAACAGAACTAGTTATCTAAATAATCAAATTGAACTAGATCTCCTAAGCTCTACATACTTTATAAGAGTGGATTATCTACTCTCTAGCAGGCACTGTGCAGCTATGGCCCGCACTACCCTTCCACAGCTGTTGCCAACTAGCAAACATAGCTCTATGCTTAAGTTTAGTATGTAAAACTCAAATATTAATAAACTTTCATTAACCATATTTAATGTCTATTAACAATCTTCTAACTTTAGTCCAAGCCAAGGCAGCAAATGAACGTGTCAAGTACAATCGAGTGCCATAGAAGATTTATTGATATACATATATGTACATATATGTATATATGTGTATATATGTCATTATATCCCTACCTTGGATGGCATATGGGCAGCTAAATTGCTGATAAGTAGTTGTTAGCCCTGCGCGCATGTGCATTAAAATGCCTTCATGCTTTTTTTTTGCGCACATTGTAACACAATTGACTTAAAAATGCATTTCAACTGAAGGAAGCAAAAGGCAGCGGACAGACAGACGACTAAACGTGTGCAGAGATAAAGCCGTTGGCAACAGGGCGACGTGTTGAGCAAAAAAAAGGGGGAAAAGAAAAATAATTCTACATTAAGCTGGCAGAGAAAACATGACTGGAATTATGATAATCAAATTATGAATAGAATAGTGGGAGCTGGCCAGAGGCAGGCCAGAGTCAGACTTGGTCATTATTTAAAGTCCATTGAAATTGGCAGCTTAATTTTAGACTTTGACTTTTCCTTTTTGGGTTTTTTTTCTTTCATTTTTGATTATTTCACTTAATGCAACGAGAAACACGTGTAACTTTCTAAAATGCAAATGATAGTGCATTGAAAATATCATGAGCACTTTTTAAATTTGACGACACGTGGGCATTGATGTGACCAGCAGCATACCAGCCCACAACAGCCCACTCACCCACCCAGCCCTTTGGAGAACGCAGACGTCGTCGTGCAGTGCGTATACGTGATGCAGTCGCACTTTCTAGTGCGGCACTTAAATTTAATTAAATTGTGGCGAGCACATCAAATCGACCAACTTGAGGGCCCTGCTGACAGCCACACGTCGCCGGCTGTCGCTTAGTGGAGCAGAGCCACCAAACGCGCTTAGAAATTTCGCACACTTGACCCGCCAAGGCAACTTAGCCGAAAGGTTCTGACTGCAAGAACATATATACGCTGGGTATATTGGTGCAGTGCATATTGCTTTGAAGCAGGTAAAAGAATGGAACAGAGAGGGAAGTCTACCGGTATTCATGAGAGAATAGAACGTGAAAATCTTATCTTATTTCTTGATTGAAGTTTCAAAAATATCTATCAATTTTTTTTTGTTTTCCTAATATTCTCAATCTGTATCAGAATTAATTTTGAAACATGAATCTTTGCATACAAAATTCAATAATTTTTTTTTGTATATTTGGTATGTATTGTAAACCAAATATATATTTTTTTAATGCATTAAATAATTTTCATAAAACTTAAATCAAAATTAGTAAGCGGAAGCCTCGAAGACAGCAGCTTCACAAGCATTTCAGGGTATCTCCTAGCCAGGCATTGCCTTTTCTCTCAGTCTTGTTCTTGTTCTTGTGTGCAATCAAACCTCGCGCGTTGCCTGCCCCGGCCAGAGAGAGAGAGAGAGCTAAAGAAAGAAACAGGTGCAGAGGGTTAACCGTTAATTCACCGACATCCATGGCAAAGTCGCCAAAAACAGGCTGCCCCAAGAATTTCAATTGAGTTTTATATTGAATTTTGGCAAAGCAGCGAGAACGCACAGATTTCTGTTTTGTTGATCGGTATCTGCATGATGTATGGGCGATGAGCCACACCCACCCAGCCAGCCCAACTGTCAATACAATGTAGTGGGCGTTAAGTTTAGAAAGTGCTGAAAACTAAACTATTTCTGTCCGTCGGACTGTCTTCAATTTGCTTCTCTGATCAACATCAATTATGTGGCACACGTTTGCAGACACCTCGAAAAACGAGACTCCCACGCATCGCAGCTGCCTCTTGCCAAGGGGCAATCGAATTTTTATGGCCAATTTCATTGATTTTGTATTTTGCTAATGATAAGACTTTTTCTTTGTGGAGTTTTTAGTTTTTTTCTTTTTTTGTAGATGTTTGCCTCTAGATAAGGCGCATGTTGCGGCATGTCAATTCGCTTTTCATGCTGCCACGCTGCCCCCGCCGTCTGTTGCATGTTAATGCCTAATGTGGAGCTTTTCTTTCAATTAGTGCAGTGAACGAAGTCCGAAGTCGCGACGCTTTAAACAAGGTCAATATCAAACGTGTCTGAATGCCTGAACCCCAACTAGCCACACGACTGGACCTTTGCTCACTTTCTTTTTTCCCAGAGCGTCTTTCGAATTTTCACAGGGGGTCGATGTCAATCAATTTATTGCTTGCGCATCCAGCCAGTTAGCCAAGAAGTCAGCCATTCATCACTTAATAAGTCGGCAATTTATTGGCCATAAATTTTTTACACTCGTACCTCATTTGACGTTTGTCAAACACAAATTTAATTGCCAACATTTTGCCACTATCCCAAAAAAAAGAACAAAAAATTCCATATATTCAAAATTTAAAGCACGCTTCGCCAAATTGTTGAGTTGACATCCAGCTGCGCTGACGAGACACGGGAACACCCATCGGAGCACGTCGCACCTATTTGGTATTACGGAGCAGTGCTGCGATCTAGAATTGGGCCACAAATTAGAAACAAGCGCACGGCCACATTGGTGAAATTTCGAAACAAACTAAAAAATTCCACATAGAATTGACCGCATTCTGCACTCCAACAGCGTGTGCCCGTTTGCAAATTTTCTATCTGTCAATTGTCGAGCCAGAGTCAACAGGAAGTGAGCACCCATTAATTCCACGCAAGATTTTAAGTTCTTTTGAAAACATAGTTTTAATGAAACATAAATGAAGTTTAATATAGATTTGAGTCATCAATTTTTATTTTTTATGTGAAGAAGAGTTGAGACTCTATGTATACATGTACATATACATGCAGGAGTATACATATCAATGAATATATATACTGATGATCGAGCATTTACAGTCTTTAATCAAATATTCCAATACATTCGTCTCTTGAACAGCATCAAGGTTTGCTTCATATTAATAAGTATATATACATATATATATATATATATATATATATATATATATATATATATATATATATATATATATATATATATATATATATATAAATATATATATATATATATATAAATACTGCTTATTAATTCCAAGCTTTCCTCGAATTCGAGTTCTGCCTATTGCAACTTCAAATTTATTCAAAACTTTTTGCTTCGCTTGGAAAATGTTTTCTTGTTTTATTATTATAATAACATATATAATAATATACGAATAAAATAAATAATTCAAATAAATAACTTAAGTCTAATTTGTTCAACTTAAAATTCAACAAATATTTAATAGCTAAACAGTTGGAAATGCTGCACATTTATTGTAATTGTTTTAGTTAAGTTTAGTTAAATATATTATTTAATAAATATAAATTACATGTAGGGCATTGCACTAAAAATCATATAAATTTCTACTAAGGCGGGGTTAGAACTAAAATTGTTTTACTGGCATTTGTGCTAAAATTAATTTCGAAACTAGGACTCGAGGGATTATTTAATAATCAGTAAGTCAAATAAGAATATGTATATATCTATTATTGCCACTGATATTGGTTGCGATAGGCCAGATGCTGCGCATCCTGACGCTCCGGCTGCGAGTACTGCTGCAAGAGCGGCCGATTTTGATAGCTATCCGTGGACGAGTCGAGATCTTCGATGGATGGGTCCGTCTGTAGCGAACGCTTCCAATAGCTGCCCTGTTCGCCCCAATCCTCGCCATGGTCCTCGTAATGGTGCTGATGATGAGCATGTTCGACATAGACAACCTAGTTAGAAATGCAAATGCAAATAGGGCGTGAAGTGAGAAACACCAAAGGAAATACCAAAGAGCCCAAAAGAGTTGTAAGAGCTGTGTGGATTGGACTGTTCAATGGGATTAAAAGGGCATACTGAGTAGACTGTATATACGTGTGTACGTGTATATGTGTGAGTGTATTTGTGTGTGTGTGAGTGTGTGTGAGTGTAATTGCTCACTTTATAGTCGAGGCTTGGAGTTACGAGTGGGAAAGGGCGCCAGCTATGAGTGAGAGAGACACGCCCATACTTACACATATTGTAGGGGAACATTTTGGATATACGCTACGTATGTATTTGTATTTGATTTTGATTTTAATTGTTTTTCAGTTTGTTTTTTTGAGTTTTGGGAATCTTTGAAAATTGTTATGTACTGATTATTGTTGTAGCTGTCCAAAATGGTTACCATATCTGAAACCAAAGAGCTCTGAATATGTTAGCATACGGTACAATTTGTTTTTTAGAGGACGGTAATTTGTTGTTTGTTTGTTGTTGTTTTTGGAACTGATGTGGAGAAAATTTGTGAACGAAAACCCGCAGCTGGAGTGAGAAGTTAAAAAACACATGACAAACGCCTGCTTCTGTGTCCGCATATTATATATGTACATACATCATATCACTTTCAGAGAGTCTTAGAGAAGGGATAGCAAAAGGGAGAAAGGGAGAGTGATAGAGACAGAGAGTCGACAAGATGTTTCCAACAAACCTTTGCCAAAACAAAATATAGAATTTGCCTTTGCTTAACACTAAAAAAATTAACAAAAGTCAATTGTTATCTAAACAAAAAGGTTGTGCACAAGATTAGAAATATATATTCGTTGGGTCTCATAACCGGAACAATTTTGTTCGTGTGTTAACCAGAACAAAACAATATCGAACGAAACGAAATTTGGTATTGCAAAATTTGGGCCTCTCAACCTACCTTGGACGGTGCACCGCCCCGCTTGACATCGATCCAGAATCGAGCAATATTTATCAGCAATCCGATCAGGGCTATGGCAAAGAACTTGATCTGCAAATGGGCGCCCAAGATTTTGAGCAGCAATTCGATTTTGGCCTTCAGCACGCTACCAACTAGTAGAATTTTAGCGGCTGCCTTCTTCTTCTTCTTCTTCTTGCCGCGCGTAACTGTGAAGCAAGTGAGATCGATCAGTTATTCACTATAGAGAAATGCATATTAACAACATAGGAAAAGTAACATAAAAAACACATATAAACGATTTAACGACATTTTCTTCGCATAGGAGGGTGGTATGTTTGTTAGTATGAACTGCAGTGCGCGTAGGTGCGTTAACGATAACGATAACAGAACGATAACGATAACACAACAAGCATTCGAAGCAAAACAAGCAGGCATAATGTAGTATGTACAATAAATTAAATAATTAAGCCAAATAATTTATGAAAATAAAATATATAAATAACTAATATAAGTAATTAAATTAGTTATTTAATATTTTTTTTAATTAAGCATAAATTATTTAACTATAAATTCTCAGCTTAATAACAGCTTCAAGTTTAAGCTTGAATGCCTTGAGCTGACTGCTATAAAACTCATATAAGCCAACAACAATTGTTTACTGCTTGGCAAGCAGTTTGATGGCTGTGCTTTTGCCAAGCAGTAAAGTGTTAAAGCAAGCACATATAGTATACACTTGCAGAAATTATATATCAATCATTTATGAATTAAAAATAATTAGTAATTATTTTTGTTTTAAAGGGTGTTCTTTGTTTATGTTATACTTAAAAAAATATTAATTAATTTCAAATAATTTCTGCAAGTCTGCTTTTAACTTTGATATAATTGTGAATCATAGTTCAAATTGATTAATAAGTTGTATTGACTCCAGTAGGAAATTGATCAATTTATCTGAACTATAAATCACAACTATAATCTCTGGCAAGCCAAAGCCTTCATTCAAACCAACTAACATTATAGATAGATATAGGCACTGAAACTGTGCTGTGGAAAAGGTGCGCTTAATTGATTCAAAACCACACGCAGCAAACAACACACACCTCCGTTACTTCTACCATAATTAAACGGGTTCTTATGCTTGCGCTTTCCTCCAGCTAGCAAGGCGTCGGTGTCCACATCGAGCAGGTCATCCAACAGTTCCACTCCCAATGTATCACTGGATTCGTGCTCTACTACTGCCGTCGATTGTTGACCTTTACGCTTGCGCTTGCCACGCTTTGTCTTGCGCTTGAAAGGTCGGCCACCGCCTCCTCCATGGCCACCTCCATGACCGCCTCCATGGCTGGCAACTGCTGGCGCGCTCTCGTGACCGGTATCAATTTCGTGATGATCAGGCGCTGCCTGCACCACCACCAATGTAGCTGGTTGGTGTTCTTGTTGGCCCTTCTTCTTCTTCTTGCGCTTGGTCTTGTTCTTCTTGCGTTTGTTGCCGCCTTTGCCGGGCTTTTTCACAGTGCCCGCCAAATTGTCTGCACCATCTTCGAGCTCTATGAACTCCACACCGCCCGATGCACCACCATCGCTAAACACTGAGTTCTTCACATCGCTCGCCGGCTTTGCCACAATTTGTGCACTTTCATTTTCCGTTTCAGGTTCTTCATCTGCTTCGTCTTCCTCCTCATCCTCTTCCTCTTCCTCCTCATGGTCGCCGCTATTAGAGGCTGCATCTGTCTCATCCTCTGCGCTATTTTCGACAGCCGATTCCTCCTCACCTTCATCATCAGCTTCAGCATCAGCATCAGCCTCAGCCTCAGTCTCTCCCTCCGTTTCCGCTTCATCTTCGTCGTCGTCGTCATCTTCCACGTTTTCACTGTCATCCGCTTTTGATTTTGGCGCTTGCAAATACTCGTATTCACGGCCAAGGAAACTGAGCGAGACAAAGAAGCAGAGAGTTAAGAAAAACTGGATATTGCCAAACTTGTTGCCTGAATTACCCGTCCATCGTCTCCGCTAGATATTCCTTCATGTATTTGGTGCCGATTTCGATTTTCTTTAACAATGTCGATGGCTTCTCTTTAATGGGCAGTTCCGAAGCGCTGTAGCCACGTCTCTCTATGGTCGCATTCAACTGCCGATCCGCTTCAACTAAAGGAAAAAATTGCTTTAACTTTTATGCAAATCTCAGAAATCGAAGTCATAAAACTTTAAGTCAAAATAGTTAAACGTGTGCAAATGCCAATTTGTTGTTTTTTATCATTGGCAATTTGCAAGTTTTCACCTGTTTTAAATTTTCACCGGACTACATTAATTACTACTCCAAGCTAATTAGCAACTCTTTCACCTGACCTTCACTTTGCTTACCTTTCAGTTTTTGCCACTGCAAGTGCAATTCATCATCCCAAGCATCCAAGATTCTAGCCGATCGTTCACGAGCGCAAGACCAGGGCTCAGCTCGGATCGGGCATAGAGCTAGGTCCAAATAAGGTGTGATGGCTGCAAAATTGAAAAAGATAAAACAAAAACTGTATTATATATATCTTTATACAGCTTATACAAGGCCATAACTTTATGGTCAAAACAATCAAATTGCTTGGCTTACGCACAAACGGAATTTGGTCTGGTTTGTTAAGTGTTTTGGACATGTGGCAGCTGCCACACGAGCTTCTTCTTTTCTTTTCAACTGTAAATATTTGAGTGAAAGTGTGCGCAACCACTGACCACTGGACAGCAGCAGCAACAGCAGCAGCAACAGCAGCAGCTACAACAGCAATAGCAACCACATTGATAACACCTTGTGTGGCTTTGCCACCTGCAGCATTCTCTGCCATGTTTAAAACATAGTTTCACATCCAGCTAACCAGGCAACAACAATCGAGTGAAAATGTGCACAGCCTAACAATTAATCGCAACTTAATTGTACCAATTGTTTTTCAAAATTGCAATTGACAAATAATTAAATTAAATTGCTGAAATCATAGAGATGTTTGCAACAATTGTGACTGCTGGAATTTATCAGTTTAGTATCTCTCGTTTTCTTTCTTTCTCTATTTCACGACTTTAAGCAAAAGCGCAAGCTTAGACGTATTACTTTATGGTAGTTCATAAATATAAAATAAAAAATAAAAAAAAACAAAAAATAAAGCTTCATACTAATTTTTTTCTGTTTAATTTTAAATTCTAACTTAAAGTTTTTTCTAATTAATTGAGAATTAAACTTAAAGAATTTTTTTTTACATAATAGTTTTCTTAATATTTATATTCTTTTCTTTTTATTTAAATAAATAGAGCGAAAAGAATTTTTTTATATTTACATTATCTTTTTTATTTAGTTAAAAATTAAATAGAAAGAATTTAATTTTTATATATAAAATTTTTTATATATATTTTTTATAATTTCAACAAAATATTTATAGAAAATAAAAATATAAAATCATAAGCAAAACAATATAATTGAAATATATTTTAAGCTATCAATTTTTGTACTAAATTAAAATATAAATAGCTAATTAAAAACACAAAATAATTAAGTGTAATCCATTTTTTATTTCATATTTTTATGTTTTTTTGCCTGCTTTATTATTTGTAATTGCACAGGCTTTTCTCTCTTTTCGTAATAAACTTTTTGTTAACTAAAATATAAAAATAGTAATTATAAGAAAATAATGATGTCGTACCTTTTTATAACATTTCCTTTATGCTCTTTCTATTTTTAACATTGTTTAGTATTTAGTCTTACTATATTTTTGTGGACACTCCAGTTGTTAACAATTTATTTAAGTGAATTTGAAGCACAATTGCGCAATTTTATTTGGCTTTTTGTATACCCTATAACAGTAGTGCTGCTGTGGTTGTTTGGGCTACACCAGTACAAGTCAATTAATTGTAAAAAAATATAATTAAGTCATTGTCACAGCCCCATGAGCCGCAGGCTGCATTTGCGCCGAGCAGAGCTCGTTATAAATTGAGCAATTATTTTATTTTTGTTTCTTTAGTTAGCTACTCATTACTATTGATTGCAACGGCTAAGGGGTAGTTAGGACTATTAGCTGCCGCTTAATTGCCACACATCAGTGGCGGCGCTACTGTTGCAGGTTGTTGCTGCCGCATCTTGAAAGTCGTGATAAGTGAAAATTTCGCTTTCAATATGTGTGTGTGTCTGTACTTTGACCTCTATGCAATGGCAGCAGCAGCCAATAATGTCAGTTCAATGCCAAGTGAAAGCTGCTGCAACTAGGATGTTGCATTGTGAGAAAATGTTTGTTTTGTCTTGTTTTCTAGTGACATCCGACAGATAAAAATCCTTGTTCGACTGTCTGCAGCCCACGCGGCATGCTTCTTTGACATTTGCCAAAAACTTTGTTTGCTTTGCTCGCTTTGCTTATAAATGTGGCACATTAAGCGAAGCCCGACTGCTGCCACACGATTACCTGTGCATCTTTCCACTTTCATGCTGCGGCCCTTTCCATTCCCCCTTAGCTACCATTGAAGACAATGCCCAAGCACTGGGCTCGACTTAATTTCAAATACATTTTGTATATAGTTTTTTTTTTGGTTTTTTTATATGTACTTTCACTACAATTGAAATTTATGCGTGGCCCATGGCTTAATATGCTTAGCTACTTATGGCAATCGCATGCATTGCGGCTGGGGCGTAGCCATTGAGCCCGAACTTGTTCAAGAGTGACGCGTTCATTTGAACCGCTGGGCTGTATGCAGAGAACTGTAAACTCTGCCAGGCTGCTGGGCATTTGGGCCAATAGCCAATAAGCCAACTAGCTAACTGGCCAGCTGTGCTGTAAATCGCATTTGTCTATAGCCTCCAGGCTAACCATAACAGTAGCTCATAAAATTTTAGCATAATCACAATAAATTCTATAGCTAAAGCAAATGAAGTTGTTAAACGTTTGCCTTGGGTGGCATTTGAAAGTGAAATATGTTTCCAATTAGCTTAGCTTAGCTTAACTCAGCTTGGCTCAGCTAGTTAATCGTCACTTAGTTGGATCTGTTAGATGCACTATGCTGTGCTGCCGTTAGCTTTTCTACTGCTATTCAACAACTGGCTAGAATTCTTGATCAATGTGTCAATGGAAACTAGTTGCCCCTCGCAGCTAAACAACAACATAGTTAAGCATTACCGTTAGCCCAGAAGTGTGTGAGCTCTGAACAACGGTGAACAAGCATGACCAAAAGAGCACAATAAAATAAAACTTTCACTGGTTTCGATCTGCTCTTTGGTATCGAAGAGGAAGAGCTAACGTTAAACATTTACGCAAATCGTCGACAGCTTTGTGGTCAGGTTAAACAAAATAAAAAGTGTGTAACAAGCCAAGTAGTGAATGTCACTTAATCTCCATCAAACGGGTTGAAAGCGCTGGGTGCAGATGCTCTGCTCGGCTCTGCTCTGGTTTGTCATTGTTATCCGGCCAAACTGGACAATTGGGACTGAGATGCCTGCCAAGCAGATGCAATTAAAAAATGAAATTGCATTTCATTTGAAAAAAATAAGCAAAACAACAACAACAAATGCACGCAGGCAACACTTTTAATTTTTGCGCTTAAAAGGCATGGAAAGGCATGTTGTCAATGCCTCGAACGCAGCTATTTTTTTGTGTTCAGTTTTCCAGTGGCTTTGTTTGCCACTAGCCAAACAAGACAAGGTGTAACCACACACACACACACACTCACACGTCTGGCATATGACGGTTATAACCCAATTATGAGCAGTTTCAGGTTGTTTTTGGTGTCAGCTCCCCCCAACGCCTCAATTCTGCCGGTCGGTCCCACTTTATTGTGTTTATTGTATGGAACCTTGCCGCAGTGGTCAACCAAATATGTGGCTATATCACGACTATGACTAAGTTTATCAGCCCGCTGTGCTGTTTACTTTGCATGGCTGCTCTTACATTGCGGGGCATAACAACTTCTATAAGTGGCCAAGACGTATTGATTATCATTGGTCAGGCAATGCCTATTTGTGGCGCTAGCAATTTGTGAAGAATTAGCAGTAGTTCAAGAGAATTTTGTACTGAGCTGAAAACATATATAGGCAGGCTTTACTTTATGGGCTTTCCCAAAATAAAGTTGATCGAGTTGATGCAGGCTAAGCGTATGCATGAAATGCTATCTAAGCTACAAGACTTCATAACTAAGATAAAATTTGGGTTATAATTAAATCTTTCACTTGTAATAACAAATATGCTGATGAATTTCAATAATCAAAAGGATAATCGTAATAATAGTAATTTCCATATTAATAATAATTTCCATATTAATGGAAAAGCAAATGGGCTTAATCACAATGACAATACAGATAATTATAATAACAATAAGTATTATTGGCATTTTAAGAAAAATAAAATGTTACTAATTTTTATAATGATAATAATGACAAGACGGACAATAGTGATAATGATTATGATGTGCATAAACCTAATGATAATGATAATGATAACGAAATAATATATAACAATGATAAAAAATTTAAGTAAATAATAATACAAATAACAAAAAGAACAACAAAAATAATTATATTAAAAAAAATTATAAACAATAATAAAATTAATAAAATTTGAACAAGCTGAGAGATAAACTTGAGCTTCATTCTCTAGACCGACTGAAATATAAACATGCTTAGCTAAATAAACATGCTGAGTTAAAAAAATAAATATTATTAATTAATTAGTAATAATAATTTCGCTCAACAAATTATCAGATGTAACACAAACTCTTATCATCTTCTAATGACACTTAATACGTTCTAATTCACATCTTCAAAACTCACATATGACTCAGATATAAAAACTAAAGCTGTCATAAATTGTGCTCTCTAATGACAAGAGTATTTAGCATTCGTACACGCTCAGCTGCTTGCTTTTAAAATGACTTTACATTATGTATAGTTGCTCTTGGTTACCCACACTTTTGTACCTATATTTTGTCAGCTCAAACGAGTGAGTGCGTAAATAAACGTCGACTGTTTTTAGCGCTCAACAAGTTCTAGTTTAGTTATAAGTACTTATGTGTGACCCATATTACATGGCCAAGGCACTTGCAATGCGTTCTTTTTTTTCTTCAGTTTTATGGCACCTCGCACAAGTGCAGGCCGTCAGCTAATTGCTCCACTCTTGTACATCGAGAAGACAGAGAGCGTAACAGAGCTGAAATGTTGAAGCATGAAGCATGTCAACTGCTCTAAAAATCTTAGCCTTTCTTAACAATATTCCAGTTCTGCTGCACTAACCATGCCACTAGCGCTAATTAGCCGTGCACTTTTGTCAACTGCAATTGATGTCTGGCTGCCGCACATCCAGCCGGCATCTGTCCCTGGTCATCTGCCACTTCCTCCACAATGACTACACTATGATATAATGCCTATTTAAATTCATGCGCTCTCACATTTAACTTAATGAGCAAAAATTTCACTACAATAAAAGCGCTTTTGATTATATTTTGTTTTGCTTGGCTTTGCTTTGTTTTGCTTGGCGCTGTATTACATATCCGTAAAGCCCAAAATAAAAAGTAAAAAACAGAGAAAGAAATTGAACACCTTAGGCTGAGTCATTGGCCGAAAAATTAAAACGCTTAGCTTGAATTGTGCAGCCAAGTGACTTGGCATAACTTACCATTTAGTTGGCGAGCCGCAGGTGTCGTTGTCACTGCCCGGACAACTGGGATGGGAGCTGGAGCTGGAGGTGATACTGGGCGGGCAGGCAGGCTCCAGGCTTGGGTCAGTGTAAATGGCATTGGCAAACATAGCAGCAGCAGCCATAGCTCAACGCCTGCTAAAGAACGCTGCCAGTCCATCGCGTTCACAAATACAAATACAGTTACAACTAGAGTTATATATTTATATATATGTTTTGAGTGGTGTAGATACAGTTGCCGTTAGATGTGAAATCGTTGACAAGAATCTATTCTGTCTTGAGTCTTGACCACAAATTTATATACACTTAATGACACGCATACGAGCAACGGCTCTTCGTTCCATTTTTTTTTTTTTTGTATTTAAAAGAAGAAGTCGTCACCGATCTATTGTCAATTAACGCACATATAAAGTATTCAAATGTTGAGCTGCACCGGCGCAGCATAAATTCACCACACTCTATAGTTCACTGTAGTAGTATATCTGGGAAAACTGCGATCTTAACACGACCAAGTTCAAGGTAAGATTGAGCCATGACGCGCATACGTAAGAAGTTTTATACCAAACGTTGCAGCCACGAGTTGCGACTAACTCGACGACTCAGCGGCTCAGCGGCTCGCGCCTAAGAGAGCTTTGTGAAAGCTGACGTGCTCTTTGTGGAAAGTGAGCAACATATGAATAGAAGCCAAAAGAGCAGCCACGAATTGTTTGCATGTTGAATTTTTTTGGCCAACGTACGGTATACAACTTGGCCAATATGTTAAATTAAGGTGTCTGGTAAAGGCATATCGAATGTCTCATTATCTGATGTTCAGCATAATTTGCATAACTAACAAAATCTGTGAACTAAGTGTGGGAGCTAAAATTGTCACTAAAGCATTATCTTAATAAACTTAAAAATTTTTTTTTAATTTTCTTAACATTTGCCTAAACAAATGGCAAATGGCTGCCTTTAAGTTAAGCTAACTTTATTCAATTGTATTTGAGCAAACGACCAACATTTTTGTGTTTCACTTTTTCAACATTTTTCCCTGTCACATTTAGTCTTCTTCTTTTTGGACACCTAAAGAGAATGGTTATACCTTTGAGATTTTTCAATTATCATTTGTTAAGCAAAGCGTGGGCGGTAGATCTTTAACTCAGAAGCTTTTTTGCATATAATTATTATTCGTGTTTTAAATTGTCGGCCAAAATTTCACTAAGCAAATTTTCTTTTTTTTTTGCAAAGCATCAAGAATTTTTTTTAAATAGCTAAATAATATATAAATAATAAATAATAATATATAAATAAATAATAATAAATAATATAAATGTTCGTTCATTTTCCGTTATTCTTATTTATTTTTTTAATTTTGAATTTTGTCTTTCCACATTTTATTAACTTATTTAGCTTAAAATCATTTCATTTACTTAATTTTTGTTAGTGTAAGTATTTTATAAAAGTTTTTTTACTTATTTTATTAATTCCAATATTTGTAGCTACCCTTACACATAAAACATTACCAGCTTTTACCTTAAACCCAAGACAAACTTCTTCAGCTAACATTTACCTTATCAAATTTGTATTTAGCACCTACTCAAAGTCCACAAAAATTGCGTAAATGATTTGTTAATTGAATTAACGTTCAAGTTGACACAATATTGAGTTGCATCATTCCCTTCAATGCATTCTGTATTACACACTTCAAATTTTCACATTTCGAAAATGAAAGTTTTCTAACTGTTTGCCGAACAAACTGCAGCTGAGCCTTAAGGCACTTGGTCTCGGTTGTTCTTCTATTGACCCTAACAATTATCAAGCTAATGCGATTTGTATGTAGGCTTTGCCCAGCCCCAAAAAAGATGCTGTTGAGGGCGCTGCCGAATATAGTAGTGCTACATAGACACCTGTCAGTTGTATGTTTAGATAAGGTGACAAAATGAAAGTTGCTAAAATATTAAAAATTTATAATAATTATACCAGACAGATTGTTGAAATTGGGTGTGACGACTGACCAAATTGATAAAACACTCGCTTTGCGAATGTGGATTACGAAATTGCAAAATTCAAGAAAGAAATTTGTAGGCCAGGCACGATCGATTGTTGGCCAACCGACTCGTTTATCAATTTCACTTTCCAGCCAAGATGCGACTGCCAATTAAAAAGGAATAGGGCACAGCCGAGGCGATCTGTCAAAGGTAAACGCAGCGAGTGGCCTGTCAAATGGCTGCTTATGTCCATGCACATGTCCAATTATCATGTTAGAAAAAGAGTGAGAGCAGCCGCAAACGTTGTCAGCGGGTTTCCGACCCAGTCCCAGTGTCAACATGGCCCCTGCCATTGCCATTGCCATTGCTATTGCCATTGCCAGCGACGTCGTCGTCGTCGTCGTCGTCTTCGTCTCCTGTCAGCTGCAATTATCCACATTTTGAGAAAACAAAAGCTGCCGCTGCTACCGCAGCCGGTGGCTTCATGATTTGTCGCCAAACGGCAATAGTGGCCAAAAGAAAAAAACCTTTGACGATATTTCAATAATCGCATCGCCAATGCCAATGCCAATGCCAATTCGACTGCTGATGCGTTAGAAAGCAGTGAAATTTATGTGATCAATCGGCTGCGACTTTAAAATTTGGCTGCAACAACTTGTAATATATAGCCACGCACTTCTCCATACCAGCAAACACGAAAGAATGCAGCCACCAAGCTTGATCTGCTATATGAATACCGTGTAACAGTAACTAGTTGGTTGACATATTTGCCTTATCGATAACAAGATTATCCCTGTCGATGATATAAAATAGAAATCTTTATGCAGCTGGGCTTGGAATTCATATGAGTTCGCATACGACAATCAATTTCTAGTGATTTCTAATGCTTGGCGTATTTCATTTATTGATATCATAATTATCGATATCGATATGTTGCATATTTGAGAGTACAGATATAAGTTAACCTTATTACCAATAAAAACATCAAGCCTTGTTTGTTGTTATCACAATTATCGATACAAATATCTGATACTTGGATTTTGCTTTATGTTATCGATAACATTTATCGATGCCAATAACTGATATTAATATGCAGCAGACAACGTTATGTGTCAACTAAATAACATCTTTATTCCAAATCAATCAATACCTCTAATATCCAACTAACTAGTATTTCTATAGGGTATGTATAGGGTATATATGATTTGCACCATTTTGTTTTCAACACTGCCACTAATTAATTGGCACGTTTACCAGCAGCTCTACAAAAGGCTTGTCCACTACGTATTTAACGTTTTTAATTAGAAGAAGCCAGCGACTAAGACATCAGGCATCAGACTTCAGGCAGAGCAGCATTCAATGGTCAGGGTTTTGTCAAAGTAAAAACGTCAGCAGCCTGCACTCGCTGACAAGGTGAAGTCAGCTTTAACAGCACGTTGCAAGCTGTCAGTCACTTGAATTGAATGCAGGCGCGGGCGGCACGGATGGGCCTCATATCACATAGATCAGCAACGACTCATGCCACGCCGTTTGTCCACTCTGTCTGGCTGTCCAGATTTAATTGTGCGTGTAACTGAAGTCGATAAATATTTATCGTACAAACTCGATATACGGCAAACATTAATTTGTTACACTAGTCAGTTAAGTTTTTTGCCTCAATGCACACTTAATTTTGCTTTCTATATGCGACGCATGCCACTCGCTAAACAGAAATTTTAATTATGCTTAATTAGTGTGGTATATATTTAATATTAAAGCAAGTGTTTATAACCTTTATATAAATCTATAAATAAATATATATATATATTAGGATAAATAGCAGAATTAGGCTGTATATACACATTAAAATCAAAAGACTTGAGACACAAACTTGATTGACATTTTGTATGTTGGTCAAATACGGCATACTTTTTAGATGCAGCTACAACGATTTATTTCACTTTTGTTTGTTAATGAATAAGGCATACTTTTAGGAATGTCATAAAAGTTTGAGAGTTTTGAGAAGCACTGCACTGTGGGCCAGAAATCTCAAATGTTGGCCAAATGTCTGGCATTCACAAGCTATGAAGCAGCTGTCATTTTGTTGTTAATATACCAATATTTAAGTACAGCCAACATGGCCTTTGTCAGATACGAATACGCGTCACCAAATGCATGCAAAAAATTTCCAAATTTTAAAATTTTTATTTAAACAATTTCAATCAAATTTTTTATTGATTTGCATTGGAAAGTATACAAGATGAACATATAAAGAATATAGTAAAGTCAAAATTGACAACCTTCATATATGCTAAGATGTATTCATTTTCTAAATTACATTTCTCAAACAATTTGCAAGTTAATTAAAAGGTTAATATAATTAATATGGAAATAAAAAAATACAATTTACAAATATAATTAGATTTCAGATATTAAAATAGATTTTAATTAATATATATATAAACATTCTAAATAAAGTTAGAAAAAATGTATTTTAATTTGTTACATTGCCATGGACGTAAACCTAAATAACTTCCGCCGCCCGCACAAAACGCTGTCCCGCACGACCGAAAAACGATTGCCGCGATTGCTGATCATTACCCAAATTGGAAATGTTTTTTCTGTCTTTCCCTTGGGGCTACTGTAAACAAAAATGTATGTATACACATATGTATGTAGGTACAGAGTGCCATGACTTTGACTTCTATTTCAATGTTTTTGGCGGTAATGTTGATGATTAGGCAGCAAAACGTGAAGTCAGCGCACGCCCATTGTTGGGCCAGGTCTCAAAGAAATCGCTGCGATGGCTTGTCAAACGTCTAATTAATCACATGCCTCACAGTCGCGGCGCCGCAGTCGAGCCTCGAACCGGGAGCTCACTTTCTTCACACATCAATCACAAGCGTCGAAGCTGTCGTGCAATGTAGCTAATTATTTCAGCTGCCCAGAAATGAAACAACCTTCGTTTTTTTTATCTATATTTTGTTTATTAATTGTATTGATTTTAATAAATATTTTATATGCAAGTAACTTAAGCCTATTTACAGCAAACTTAAGCGAAAATAATTTAATTTAAATGTGTAACTCGTACTAGCCTAAGCCAACTTTTCCACTAGTCCATCTATTAACTAATTTAGTAAAGCTGCGCCCTCGCAAAGTCGCTGACTAAAATTGTACTCGGTGGTCCTTTAGCCGTTGGGTCACAACTCGCTCACCGAATCAAACTTCGCGCCGGGTACTTTGTGGGCAGCAGCGACATGGGATCAGTATTGTTGGGCACCTCGTTTGGGCGCTGATCGACATATTGTCCGGTCTGATATGCGCCATAGGGATCGGAGCGACTTGCCCAACCGCCTTGCGATTCATAAGAGTAGCTCTGTCCGGGTAACTGCGACTGGGCCTGTCCATTGCCGTGAATGTGCAAGTGAATCTCCTTGCTGGGCGGGTGTGATCCCGATGGTGGGCTGCCACTGAAGCCAGTGGGCGTCCACGATTCCTTGGCATGCGGATTCCAGCCAGGATAACTAAAACTGGGCGCTGAGTTCTCATACTGACCGAAAAGACTCGTCTTTAGCGTCAAGAACTTGCCCAGTATGGCGAGCGCGTTCATCACCACCAAAACCTTCAGCAGGAAGAGAGACTTCATGCCAATGGCGACCAGAAATGCGACCATGGCTGAGAGCACGCCAAACTTAAAGATGATGGGGACCAAAGCCATTTGTAGACGTCGAATCTTGCCAAACGTACGGCCCTCTGCAAAACAAAGAAATTAGTTGAAAAATGCAATACTTTAGTCAAGTTCGCTGCCTAAGTCTTTTGTTTTTTGCTAAGCAACCTAAAGACCTGACCACTAATAATGTTCATTGAATCGGCATCGCTGCCAAATTAAGCCAGGCTTTTTATATTATCATTTTATATTATCAATTGGAACAACAAACAGAGCTGAACGCTTAGCAATGCGAAAGTCTATAAAAAGAAGGCGACCGAAACGCCGAAAATAAATAAAAAACCATAAATATTTTCTCAGCACTTAAAGATGCGTGTACTCTTTAAAAAAATGTTTATATATATGTATATAATAATTTACGCGAGTCTAGAAGAAACGAAGGCCGAAAGTGAAATTACAACAAGGTGTTTGCGATGAGAGAAAAAACATTTCACAACAAAATCTCGTAGACCAAGCGGACTCTAACAGAAATTAAAAGAAGAAAAAAAAAACAGATAAATTGTTGTTAACACCTTTCGAGCACCTTTTGCTGTTTGGCTGGGCTTTTATTTCTCTACGTTGTTTCTAGTCAGGTTTCATTGAAAACGAAAGTGGGAATCAGAGAAGTCGCTAATCAGTAGCTATCATTCGATGCTGATTGAAAGAGTTACATAAACGCAATCAATGAACCACTAATTGAGGTGTGGGACAGATGTGGAGTAGTTGCAGTCGTTGCATATTACTCACCCACAACAGCTGGCTTCTCTTTGTTATTGTCGCCGTCGTCGTCATCACCAAACAGACTTTCACTGAGATCGCTGCGCAGCCAGCTCCAAAGTGTGCGCACCATGCCCCAGACACTGAGATCTGTGGGATCAACTGCGGGCTGCAATTGATTCTTGTCTGTGGTCGAGGGCGCAGCTACTGAAGCTTCCTTATCTGCTGATTGCTCTTCCTCTTCTTCATCCTCCTCATCTTCATTATCGTCCTCATCAGCCCCGTCCTCGTCTTCATTCTCATCATCATCGTCATCGCTGCTATTAGCTGGCTTTTCAGCAGCTGCGGGTGTTGCTGCTGCGGCTGCTGCGGCTGCTGTATCGGCTTTGTCTTCATTGTCATTGGCATTAGACGGCGGCTTTTCAGCTTTTTTGATTATTTTGGCGCCCAAAGCACAGCTCAAAAAGCACAGAGCCAACAAGACGGCTAGCAATGAGCGTCGCGCACTTGAACTCTTTGTGAGAAACTGAAAGTACAAAGTGTTTTAGAGAAATTATCAGATTATGTGTGTGTGCAACTGTGTTTGTGTGTGTGTCATTGCATTGTTCAGCAATGACATCAAAAAAGGCGCACTTTAAGCGCATTTCATCATACGCACACGGAAATTGCGTAAACAAAAGACTTAGGCAGCAAACTTGCCTTTTGTAACAGACCAGACCTAACATTGTAATAGAGACAGTGCTGTGAGAAATGCTTGCCAGAATGCACTTAAACTAAAGCCCTGCGATTTATATTTTGTTTTACAGTCATATTTAACACGATCATAAAATATTTTATGATCCATACAACATATGGGGCTAACAGCAATTCCCATTTGGCAGTCTTCAACGTAAAGCGCCCTTTATGTAATGTTAGCTCTTGTAGCAACTAGTTTTAGTTTTCAAACTTTAAATTTGTGTCAACACATCCGTAGCTATGAGAGTTTAGTAGTTGCTGTTGTTGTTGTTGGGCATCAAAATTAGCATGTAAATATTTGCAGTATGTAAATGATGGCAAAAACCTGACTCATAAATATTTCAGCATTACGTTATATTCAGTTTTGTGGTTTTTAAAAACATTTCCAAATGTTTTTAGTCAAAAGTGCAAAAGTGAAATTCCAAGCGAACAACAATTGATTGAATGATAAGAACTAAAAACAAAACAATTTGGAAACAAAAAGAGATATCCACATCTTGACTCTTAGGCATAGTTGCGCAGCTTCTGGCGTGGCCCTTAGCTCTCAATTAGCTGTTCATTTCTTAGATTTTTCCCAACAGAACTGAAAGTACAAGCCGCTTTCCATTTTTAGAACTCAATTATATGGGCAGACAAATAGAAAACATTTGTTTTCCGATTTCTAAATGTGCTCGAAAATTTCCCTGGAGCGTGGCCAAATAAACAAAACAAAACAAAAAGTTGAACAACATTTTGTATGCGTTGTCTTTAGCTTCACAATAGTTCTAAGCAAAATTATGTGGAACTAACGGATGACCCGGTTGGCCGGTAAACAAATGCCACCTGAGCTCGAGGAATTAATCAAAACTGAATGATGTGACAGTTTAATTAAAAGTTGAATTCGCATGCCCAGTGGAAGCCGTTGGCTCGACATAATTTGTGATCGCTTTTGTATATTATACAATAAAACTTATTTCAAGCATTGTTAACAAAATGGTTTCTTCTTTTGTTCGTCTTTGCCTTTTTTCGCGGTCAAGTTTGTGGGCCAAATTCTTTTGGCTCTGTTTTTTATTTTGTAACTGTAAAGCGAAAACTTTTGGCATTGATTAAATGTATCCAAAATGTATGCTGTTAGACGTGAGACAAATGCAACTGCATTCGCATCGTGTTCGAACAATAGGAAATTAAAAAGAAAGGCTTTTACTATGATGTAACACGCGTTTTCCCGAATTTCAAATTTTATTTGCGTTTTATTGGCATATAAATTTACGAGTGAGTGAGTTGCGGCAATATATGAAAATGTCACTTTGTTTACATTTACATATTTGATGTTAAGACTGGCTCACTGTGGCTGAGATAGTTTTTCCAGCTTAGTTTCACTTTGTTTGTTTTCGTTTTTTGTTTTTTCTTCTTCAAACTGCAATCAAATTTAACACTGCATGAATAACTTAATCTGCATCTGTTCAAATTGATTTCGTCATTTGGGAGAAATCTTTAAAGTTATTTAAATAAAATATTTATACTAAAGAAATTTCTTCTGTTAAACAGTTGCCGTTTATGCGCGTTGTTTGCCAAAAATCGTTTTTACATTTATTTAAAATTTAGCACATTCGAGTGAGCAGCTGACGCGAATTACCTTGTTAAAATGGAAAGTGCTGTAAGCTGAAAGGCACTCAATTGTTGAGTAGAACTCATCGATGTATCATATAAAAACTTTAGCCTAAACAACTATGTGAGCTATGCGAACTATCTCTAGAGTTAATTGTTATAAATGAAAATATGATTCAAATTATTTGGACGTAGGCATTTTTCTGAAAATTTCCATGAATCACCCATTGTCCATGCTCTAGAATAACAAAAATAAAATTGAGCTAATGAAGTCTTAATCATACAAATTAAATTCATTAAAAATTACGTTTTTTTCGTTATTGTTTAGTTTTTTATTTTTTTGGGCTTGGCTTTTGCCTTTCATAAGCTACATTAAATTTGACGCCCTAAACTTTCCTCTGGCAAATATTTGCGTAGGCTCTGCTTTAAGTTGATGTATTTATGGCTATCTTAAATTTTATGCTCCGCAGCGATAAATGGCGCATCAAGTTTTACCTTGCATCCAGTGGCCAGTGGCCATAAAACTATAAAAGACAAACATAAACTGGGCATCTTAAAAACACCATGGTGATGCAATTAAGGCACGTGGACAGATGCATAAATCTAATTATAGCTTACCAGTGCGCATTATCTAATGGCTAAACGAGTCGCATGTAATGCGATCGTTAAAGTCACAGTTCATGACACAAAAATCGAGTGGCCAACAAACGGAAAACACTTTGAGCGCATTTAATAATAGAGCAGCAGACAAACAAACAGTCGTCTGAGCTGGCTTCAATAGAAAGTTGTCGCTTGTTACTTCTTTTTTTTGGCAACAATAAGATATGTGTATACATTGTCAACATGGCCAGAATTGTTAGCCAAGTGATTTATTTTGTCAATTGTTAATAGCAAATGTATATTGCCATTTAGAAACGGCCGCGGTGGTTGGCCCTTTTGTCAGTGTCAATTCCTTTGATCAGAAACAAATGGGGAATTGAGGTAAAACGGTCACAGAGCGCGTGCCAGGCATACGAATTGACTGTAGCTAATGATTTAAAGCTGATTAAGGCGTACCCTGTACTTATTGGTGGAGTATGTGATGTGGCAGGCAAAGAAACTTCTGTAAGTCCATTCTCCAGATGTTGAGAGAACTTTTTTTTAATATTTATTCACTTATCTTATCTTGCTGTATAGGATACATTTTTTATGTTTTAAATTTTATGTCTCTATAGCTCAGTTTCTAGCTGCATAGCTGAAATATCTTATATTCACAAACTATATTTATTATCAAATATTTATTACTATTTATTCTCATATTCAAAATCAGCCAAAGTTGAGAAATTTCAACTTAACAATTTCTAATATGAATTCTTATTTATCAAATGCAAATATATTCATTTCCAAAATGAAGCCAAACTTAATGTAGCAGACTTGAGGCCTCTCGAAATACAGCCTATTCTCGCCCCAACTTTTCTCTTACAGCTGCCACTAAGCAGGCAGCAACTCTAAGTCCCACTTTCAACTCTTCAGTTGATATATCAAATATCAAGACGCATATAAATATCACTTGCACATCTCAGCAAATTCAAGACAAATTCAAACGAAACAACTCACATCTGTTCTTGCGCACAGGTCGACAACATTTCGATCTAGTTTTTTTATTTACTTACCAACATGATTATGGGTTTAGTCTAGCAGCTGGCAGAATGATGTGTTTTCACTTATTAATTGACTGTGTTGTTATATCGTACGTATCCTAAATTATTTCATTGAACTCTTCGAGTTAGCAAATTAACTAACTGCAACGGCTTCAATGCTCCAACGACTTTCACGCAACTAAACAGCAGCAGCTGTGGCAGCAAAAACAACAACAGCAACAATTCTTCAGCCGACAACACACACGCAAATTGTTTTTGGCCTGATCAGCAGCAGATGCGAATCAAAATGGTATCGAATGAATTTAGTTTTGGTTTAACTTGTTTTGCTTCTTGACGCGACTGCAGCGCTTGAGTTGTGCCCGTTGACTGGCAGTTGGCCATGGTCTTGGCCAGCAGGTAAAGTCTGGACTGGGGAGTTGCACGCGCAGTTGGATCAAGCAAAATTTTTGTCTCTCGACCAGACCAGTCTCCGTAACACGCGCTTCTTCAACGTGTTTGCTTTTGTGACTCTCGCGCTCTCAGTTACAATTTCGTTTTCAACACTTTCTTCACAATTTTCCCCTAAATGGCGGCAGCAACAAATAGCAGACGATCGCACCAAAAAATGCCGACTCAGTGCTGTCTCTACAGCTCCCCTGGCATCTGCCTCTGCACAGCTCCCGCTCGGCTCTTTGTTGACTCTATTACGAATAGCCGTGCAAGGGGCCAGAGCATAAAAGTGTTTTGCGAACGTGACAACAAACATGCTGCTGACGTCACAGCCTCTTGGCTGGGATCGACGCACCACACGCCGTGTTTGACCCACCCAACCAGGGAGCCACACAACAGCCCAACCACCCAACCACAATTCAACCCATTGCCCTGCCACAGCTAAAGCTTTCACGTTGCACGTATTTACTTTGATACATGTGGCACAAACGATCTTTTATCTTCAGGTATAACAACTACACTTTCTTGTTTGTTTTTATTATTCATAAAGTTTTATTATGTCATAAGAATCATTGGGTAATCAAATGTCAAATGATTTTATTGTTATACATAATTTTGTTAACTCAAATGTTATTTATAATTATTTATTATATGATTTATTATTAGAATATTTAACCATAGTTGCATAAGAATTGATTTATCATGAATTATTAATACATACTATTATTACATACAAAAACTATTACAGCTATTTTCGAGAGTAGTTTAATGAATTTCAACTCATCAAAAAATAAATAAATTTTACTAATTTTATATTAATTTGTATTTATTATTTTTAATAAATTTATTGATATTTAAGAAATGTTAATAAATATTAATAATAAAAAATTATAAATATATATTATTTTTTTTTATATATAAAATTATAAAAATATATTCTTTTTTTTAATTTATTTTATTATAATTAGAAAATAATAAAAAGCTTTAAAACCTATTATTTTTAATAATTTTTAAATTTTTTATTTTTATATTTCAGTATTTATTCACAACTAGCATTTTGATTTAGAACAATGAATAAATTGAGATATATTAAATAATTATTAATGTTTTAGAGAACATAGAATACAACATAAGATTTAAATGAAAAGCGATTTAAATTCAAATATATGTTGAATGATAGACGAAAAGCTTTAGAGTTAATTCATTACATGAAGAAGAGTAAAAGACCAAAATAATGTTGATACAAATTAACAATTTTGGTATATTAATTAGTTTGATCCAAGCATATCTACATCATCCAAGCCAAAAATAACTATAGAACGATTCATCAAACGTTCGACTTGCTCTTCATTAGCTATTGAACATTATTCAAACTAGATTAAAGAGCATCAAAAGTTCGTCTGGTTGCACATTTTAGTTTTGTTATTTCTTGTTTTGTATGTAATCCTAACTCGTGTTTGCCGGTTGCCTTTTACCCGCTCTTTTGTGACTGTTTTGACCCATTTCTCCACAAAACCAATCACTCTCTCACTCTCTCTCTTTCTCTTCCTCTTTCTCGCTCTCCCTGCCTCTTGTTACCTCCCATTGAGGCCCATTCACTCGGCTTTAAGTTTTCTCACAGCAACTGCTTTGCATGATAAAAATACGCATAGTAGCGGTTGTTGATAAGCAAATGTTATTTATGCGCGTGGAGCTCGTGTGATGTAAAGAATTTAAGATTCTTGAATTTTGATTTCTGGATCATAATGCCCATTGAGAAGCGCTGACAATAGCTTACAGTTAGCTAGAACCTTAATTTAGACTTAGTCCAATCGTAATAGCAGCTCAGAATGTGGGTTAAAAGTCAAGAAACTACGTATGGACACCTTTGTGGTTAGCGATTAACGTGAGGTGCAGTCGTACCTGGATGTCAAGTTCAGTGCTTGTCGGAACAATGTTTACCTTGCCTATTAGCCATTACATAATGGTACCCAACTGACAGCCGAGTGTGAAATCCGTTAGGCACATGTGGTAATCGCAGCGGCGCACTGCCAGACCTAATGTCATGGCCAGCGCTGTAGCTGAAGTCGCGGTGTCAACGACTCCGTCTAGCACGAGGTCTCGGTCTGCAGCTCAGTCAGTGATTTGCTTGCAGGCAATTGTTTGTTTTGCTTTCAGATGCTCGAAATGTGTCAAAAGCCGTCATAAATGCCTTAGTGGGCCCAACGTGGAACATGATTTCCTAACGGTCTTCACGCCTATGACATATCTGGTTATCAAAATGACATTATTACTGGTTAAATCATTTGCATTTCTATGCTTTACTCCCAACTGTTTCTAAATTTTTTTTTTATATGCAACATAAATAGAACACAATTTTCTTATACTTGCTCATGAAATGGAAGAGAGTATATTGATTTGGTGCAATGTGTGTCTGAAGAACTGTCTATCTATATGCATGAATGCATAGTCTAACAGCAAGAGACTTGAAATTGATATTCCTTGTCCTATAAAGTGTGAATACATTTTATTCAGTTTAGAATGTAAAAGCTAGAGAGTTGAATTTTGAAGTATATATTTTTGTAAATATTAATCCAGAATAAAAAAATGCTTAACTTATTGAGCCACACTCATTTGGCTTCGCTCAAATTGACTAAGATTTTAATCTCCACAGTTTTATGACTAGAATCTCATAAATTCCTTTGTTTATGTTGACCTGTTCTGCTGACAGCTTTTAAATTGCATTTATTTGCCTCTTGCGAGATTGAAAACATAAAAAGTTTAATGTCTTTGGGGCGTGGCAGATCGGAAAACATCAATTGAATAATAAATTTAGCTCTATTTGCAGCTCACTTTAACATTATTAGTTTTCATTAAATCTAAGCTTTATTAAACAACATGCCAGTAAATTCATAAAAATATATAATTTCACAATAAGCAACAAACTATGATTAATATTAGTAAATTGTCGTCAATTAATTACTTTTTACCAAAGTTACTTCGATAGGCATTCGCATAGTATGCCTGCCAGTTGGGCGTATTGAGCGAGGCATAGGGATTGTAGTAGTTGTTGTTGTAGTAAGTAGGATACAGATATTGACCGATAACATAGGGCCAAATGCGTATACTAATATCGTTGTTATAGTTGCTCGGCGTGGGATAATAGTAAGGCGTTGCTGTCGAATAGTAATAGCCAGTGAGACTAGAGAACGTTGGGCTGGGCGTATTGTATGGATTGTAGGGCGTATAGTACTGAGCTGCAGCGAACTGTAAAAACGAAAAAGAAATAAATCAGATTTTATATGACATGAAATAAACATTAAGACTTACGGCTAAGAGCGCTAGGAACAGCAGGCAGCAGGATTTGTGAGCCATTTTATGTATTTTATTTAACAATGATATATTCCAATTGGTTGTTTCTCGTTATGGCTAAGCTCTCCGACTAACTGTGTTAAAGAGTGCTCAATGGCATTTTATAAGTCGTGAACCGGGAAGCTGCAATTTCACGCACCGACACCTACAGTCGGCTTTGCTGTTTTTGCTGAATGTTTTCTAATTTTTGTCTTTATTTCGTTTTATTGTTATGAATTCCAACTATTTTTATGCTGTGAATTTATAGTGAGAAGTGTAGAGAAGGGTATCTGAATTTTGTAAATTTATGCTACAGAGTTTATACATTTTATTGGTATTTGGAATATGTGGATTAAAAATATAAATTGAGTAGATAGATGTTCAGCATAGACTCCAAGCTCCTTTTAATATGCATTTTATTATTCAATATTCGTAATTCTTGATCAGTATGAGTTGTTCTAGCCATGTTTGTCTATCTATTTGTCTCTTTTTTAATATGATTCTACTTACTAATTGAGCATAAAAAATAATGCAAGAAGCGATCAAGATTATGATAATTTTGATCATGATGCTCACAATGAGATTTATTATACTGGTGCTGATTATTATAAAGTTGATCTTAGTAAATCAACAACTTTTCAGTGTATTCCCTCTTCAGTATTGGCCAAAACACTCTTACCTAATTGACTACCCTTGTTGTTTCGTCATTGAACTTGACTCATCGGGGTTGTTTACCCATTAAAAGTCGCCTGACGGTGAGTCCCACAACAAAAAACAAATACAAAGGCAGCAAAAAAAATCTAAACTAAGTATAAAGTAATTTCCGACACTTTGTTAATAAGTGCAAAGCATTTTGTCCAATCGGCCCAAATTGGTAAGAAGGAATATACAATTATTTGATTTGCGAGTATTTCATATATTTTACATTTCATGGACGCAATTTGTGTTCTGTGTTTTTTTATTCAGCTTACAAACAATTACATTATTTGTAATTTATTTATCGACGACCTTCGCATTGCTGTTAGTTGGGCGGCCTTCTATTTACATTATTTACACGATGCTCGGTGCTCGATGCCGATGCTCGATTCTTCAAATTAGACTACATACAATTGTACACGAAACGTAACTCAACAAAATCGTCAACAGATCTCTTAAATTAGTTAACATATTTATTTATATGGAAACATATTCACTTCCATTGCGTCAATCCACCTCTGCTTCTTCATCATCATCTTGCTGGCTCCATTTAATTTAATTAGTGTTTGCTCTTTCTCAAAGACAATAAATATTTAATTAATTGCATTCAATAGTCTTCATCATCTTCGTCTGGCGGATCCGTTGCATAAGTCAACTCATTCAGATAGAACCATTTCTAAAAATGAAGATTTCAAAATTAGTTTATAATGTTTTGCATAATATTTATAAGTCTCGACTAACCGGCGATTCTGTGCAGTTGAAATTGTAGTCCCAATCACATATTCTGTATTCCTGATTAAAGCTTGTCTCATTGGCGCACAAATGTGGTATTCGATTGCCCTCCTCGTCGCACATGTGAAATATCTGCAATTGGTATTAAATATTAAATAAATTAAACTTAAGCAAAGAGAGATTTATAACATCATATGTATTATACATATTATTTTATATTCATTTAATAGAATTTAAATACTTGTATCCTAATATTTTTTTACTTTTATTTTTAATTTTTTTTTTAAATTAAAATTTTTTTAAAATTTTTTTTTTAATATTAATTATTTAATAAATATATTTGTCTTTCAATTTTTATATTTCCTTTTGCAAGCTTGACTTGCATGCAACACTTTTGTTGCCTACTTTTAGGCAGTTTCATAAAACTCAAAGCTTCAATCGTAAGCTCTTTCTGTTGCTCTCTCTTTCGCACTAACTCACCTGACAATTGTACTCCATGTCCGCATAGAAGCCCACCGAACGCCTCTTGCAATCAAAGGAAAATGTTATATTATCTAAATTCGTCCATTCCTTCGTCTTGTGGTTTTGAAATACTGGACTGGCTGGTTCCTGGGCATCGATGGCTACCAGCAATAGGTGAGCTGTAGAAGGAAAAGAGGCTTTAGAGATACTTCTATTGCTAATATTTAAGTAAGTCTGTTCGCAGATCTAACACATTTTAAAAGTTTAGTCAGTTATAGAATGCATCAACTTCCACTTATAATATATAAAGTTCATTTTCTCTGCAGGCTCATCAGCTTTTTATAGGGTATTTGCTCTACACTATTCCCTACATCTTTCATTCCACCTATTCTTACTGCTCTGCACACTTATTATGTGGCTCACGCGTGCCATCGATTCGGCCTCAAAGTAATCGTCTAATCAACGCGCTTAGCATTCAATTATTCTGCCAACTTGTGTCTCGGCCCCTGCTCGTGTCTTCACGTCCCTCGTGTCTGTTCGGCTATTGGGGCCATAGTACTCACCTAGTAAAACGCCGGAAAGCCATAAAATTCTATAACTGTAAACCATTTTTGTGGTGCTGCACATTTTGGCCAGTGTTTTGGTTTGGCTTGCTTCGTTTCTCTCTCAATCTCTCTCGATGTCCACTGCAATGCTTGCAAGCGTCGTTGCTCTCTCTCTCTCTCACTCTCGCTCACACACACAGACAGACACACGTGCTACGCGTCCATTTAGCTGGCAGTTTTTCAATTAGGAAGCGCGGCTTTGTTTATGGCAGCTGGCACATGGCTAAAACGAAAAGCAAAAAAATAAAATAAGATAAACATTGATTTGTTGTGGCAACTGGAAACGACAGTTAATTGTTAATTGGCGCCCAATCTTGGCTTTAACAAACACACACTCGCACACGCACACGCACAGAAATTCATTAACTACATTACAACATCTTTAATAAAGACGTAAACAGAGACGGAGGCAACCTCCATCTCTATTGCTTTACATGGTCAAGCCAAACCCGCGATTTTTCATTTTTGGGAATTGAGTCATAAAAAATTGTACCAAATTTTGAACTGCTGACATCAGCATTGACCCGCGCCCGCATAACAACAGGATATAGTTGGATATACATTTGTACGTCTAGACACTGACCCACTTAGGTCTGTGCCGCACTGTCTGTCAATTCTATACATCAATCATTTGACAGCGGCTGTCAAATTAACACACAAACAGTATAAAGCAGGAAAAGACAAAAGAAACGTTTGAAATGCCATTAAAAACAATATTTCAATGGCAGATCCAATCAGAAAATAGAATTTATGTATGCAAATTGATTTGATTTTATTTCTTTGTTTTTTGTTTTTCGGCCGGCGAGCAAAAGAAAGAAACGACCTTGCTCACGATTGTTTCTTGTCGTTGTAGTTGTTGTTGTCGTCTGGGCTAACTCCAATTAATGTGTCAAGCAGGCAGGCAGGCAGGCAGGCAGGCCGGCAAACATGCCGCACAGGTCGGCCTCCAGACGAACAACCCGATTGAGCGATTAGCCAGCCGCTGATTGCATTTAATATATTTCATTTTATTGCTGTGCGACGATCTTTCTCTTTCTCTTTTATTTTATATCTTTTTGCCCAAAACAAATCCTTGACATTTTCTTGAAATTTATGTCCGGACATATGCGACGATTAACATCGCGCTTAAGTCGGCCCAGTCGCTTCAGACAAATAATCGTAAATTGTTTTGCGCCTCCCCCGCATTTCCAACTAATTTTGTCGGCCACGGGAACAAAGTCTCCAACTCTTTCGATTCCAACTCCAGCTCTAGAGACTGCCACAAAATGAATGATATGCAGATTTGGGTTTTTCGCTTGCTCAACGTTAAAGGTCAGGCAGACGAGTCAACTATGCCAGCCAGTGTGTGTGTGGAGGGAACAGCAGCTGCAGAGTTAAACAAAGAGGCGCCTGCAAGATGACACAGCAGCCCAATGTCTGCGGCCATTGGCTGTTTTGTCTTTCACCTTTTCCGTTGACCATGGCGCCTGACTCCCCGCTCAATTATGATCTCTGCCCCTGGCTGCCTACCCTCCACGCAGCCTAACTGCCATGGCGATTGTCAGAGCCAAAGCTTTTAAGCGTGCGTTAAAATTTCCGCAAAAAATGCGCGTCTTATTAAATGTAGAGTAGTGCCAAAGAGCCTATTGAATACATGAGTTGTCCGGGAACTTTGCAAATCTGTGTAGAGTATACTAGTGTAGATTTAAATTGAGCAAATTACATTATAGTTGGTCTTAAGTTCATATCAAATTTTGCATATGTTAGAGTATAAACTTAGCTGACAGATCTTTTATTACTATAATAGCTATTTACTAGTTCCGATTGGACTGTACGATCTAATTGATTATTCAAATTGTATATACTTGCTCTAAAGCTCATATGTAGCACTAAGTTTTATATATTTTAGAGTACATGCCTAACTCCTGAAAAGTTATGAGTCCCCATTTCCAAGAGAATTTTAAGATATAATTGGCTATTTAAATAGCTTTTTGCTGAGAATATTTTCTTGGCCAAAAGTCAAACTCAGATATTTAAGCTGAAATTTCAATTTTCTAATAAAAGTTTTTTATTCCAATTTCTTTTCACTTTTATTTTTGGAGCACTAGACATATGTATGAAGTATTGTCTTAACTGACAGCATAATAACTACCTTTCAAACTACTACATTTCAAATCTATAATTGTAGCTCTTCAAACCTCTAATAAATAATTCTTATTTAAGTTCTTTTGCAAAAACATTCGAATTTTTTAATTAAATATATAGAATAGATAAATATTAATTATTTATTTATTTATTATCATTTGTTGTCTATAAAATTTTCAGTTTAATTTCATACTCATAACCTTTTTTTTGTTTGCCTGCTCTGACTTCTGTTGCTAGAGAAATAGATAAAGACTTTATGATTCCAAATACAGAGTAAAGAGATCATTACTAAAGAGATCATCCCTAGATAATCCAGCTAAAACATTATAAAAAGAAATTCTATCAAAAGCTTATCTACCTCGATTCTTGCCCTAACACAGCATAGCATGATAATTTAGGAAAAGAACTGCAAGATATAAGGTCTTAGCAAGATATTCTAGGAAGAGCTTAACTTAAATGATC